TCTTTTTTTCTTTCTGTAAAACAAGAATAATTTCATGCTTTGCCCTTTATAGGTCACTCTTAGAAGTTCTCATTTGCTTATTGCTATTCTGTACAAGCGCTGAGAAGGTATATGGTAAATGTTGTGGTAATTACCTTTTGCTAGAGTAACATTTGCGATATTTTGATCCGAGATGCAAAATGAAAAAATCACTGGTCTCATTTTGTTTAGTGTATTAAATGAGATTAAGGGATGGTTTGATCATGGATGAGCGGAGATTCCTGGGGAAAAAAAATTAGGTAATGGGGAGGTTCTTAAATGAACAGGCACAGAGATAAATTGTTCAGTAGCTGAAAGGGGATGTGTGTGTGTGTATATATGTCTATGTCCTTATACATCCATATATATAAAAGAATAATATATATTTAAATCACTGGGACAATTTTCCATCCCTAGAAATAAACTAAGATAGGATGCTTTTCAAAGGGATATTATGATATTACCTAGTTTAAACAGCAGTCAATTCTGGGAAGTCTGATGTCTTGCATAATACAGGATAGCTACCCAATGATTGCTGTAGTCCCTGAACTGCTTTATCTGAGTCTGTTCTGGCTGACAGTATTTTTAGCAGAGACGTTGTGCGCCTATTCTACTGAGAGATTAATTCCAGTACAATACAGTGCATTACTGTGCCACCACTGGCTATTTTAGCCCTCCCTAATTAGACAGCTTGTCCCAGTGTGCTGAGGTAGGATAGATTTAAGGGATTAAGCTTCATGTGTGTGGCCTGGAGGCTCTGCAAAGTACATGTAAACAAGAGTTGGGTGTGTTCATACTTTGGAGAGGAGGAGAGGGAAGGATGTAAGGCAAAATGTTGTTTGGGAAGTTGCCACGTCTAAGAAGATGTGATTGGAAATGGGTAGAAAACACCTGATTGTATACAATTAAATGAGTAGCCTGAAAAACAGGTGAGATGGAGCCACATAGAAGACAAAATGGTTGAAGTCCAACTGGTCCTGGAGAAAAATCCCAGTGGCAGACTGCCAGGCTGGGAAATGGGCAAGGAGAGATGACCATAATAAACTCTTTCACATTTTAAAGCATGGGCGCTGCCTGCTTTGCTGACAGAGGTGACCACATTAAGACATGAGGGTGGGAAAGGTTTGGCTGGAAGCAGAAGGAAAAATCACTTTCCCCAATTGATGTGTGGGGTGGAGAAGGAGGAAATGTTCCTATAGCCAGTGCTGGAGCAGAATCTGACTTGCATGAGGACTATTACTTGCCAGACGACACATTCAGTGTGAATAGTAAGACTTTTGAGAGCCATGAGGATCAGCTCGCACTGTTCATACGTGGCCAGAAATCAGGTTGAAGGTGAAGCATTTGTTGCTTACTCATTAAGGTCATCACATTAGCTTGATGCTAAACTTAATCAAGAGAGCTATATAGATTTCAGAGCATGAAGAGCAGACCTTGAGTGTAGACCTCAGGTTGGGTGGTGAAGATCTCTTGTCTGCACATCCTTTTTGGGGAAGATGTCTTTCAAACCTGGTGCAGCCCTGCTTTCTCTCTGGCTGCTACTTCCCAATTCCATGGCAGAGGGGAACATTGTGTAAGAGCAATTACAAAATGAGAATGGAGTCTGTCTTTGGGGTGAAGCTTTCCTGATGCGGTGAGTCTTGCTTTGGTTTTCCTTTGTGCTGCATACATGCTGGTGAAACATTACTTCTTCACCTAGCGCTACCTTCAGATTTTGTGGTAAGTCAGGGAGGAAGGACCATCATCGCTGCTGGGTCTCTGGATGTTGTGTTACAACCCAGGGGAAGTGACCGAGAAGGTAACAAGCTGCTAGCGGTGACACAGAATTCCACCAGCTCAGCTGGTCTCTGGGAACGGTATCTGGCTGTGGCCTGGTTATGGTCACACGTAATGCACGGGCAGCTTGCTGTTGTGCTGGGTTTTATAGCAGCAGTGCCCAGCCGCAAGGCAGGGAGCTAGTGGGGAGGATTCTCATGGGAAGTCTCTGCAGTTGCTGTTGTGCTGGGTTTTATAGCAGCAGTGCTCGGACGTCCCGCCCAGCCGCAAGGCAGGGAACTAGTGGGGAGGATTCTCATGGGAAGTCTCTGCAGGCTGACATCGAAACTGTTCGCTTGACAGTCCTGTCATCTCTATAATAATTAACATGCAAATAATTGATATTTTAGGCACGCTGTTCCTCTTTGTGGTCACTGAGCCTTCACTTAGTAGTAAAAAGGAAAAAATGATTCAGCACCTGTCATAATTGAATCAATTCCTCAGCATAGAGAATTTTTTTTTTTTTTAAAGAATGAAAATATATGAAGAAAAACTTATTTTTAGGTTATCAACCTTCATTCTACAAGTTAGTGCTAAAGGCCTTTCAGAACTGGGGAGGAAGTCGGGTTTTTGGGATGTGCAGGAGGTTATTTAATTTTGAAAATATGTTTTCCATCTTCATTTTTAGAAGAGGTCTTTCTAGGCTTTCTTGTAGTGGAAGACAATGCAAGAAGTTCCTCTGGAGCTTTAGAAGCCCTCAGAGTTTGTTCTTGCAAGCACAATTGATTTCCTTTGTGCTGCCTGCACTGGATTAGTGAAAGCACAAGTGCTTAGTCTTAAAGAGAAGCTTGGGCTCTGAATGACTTCACTGCATTAAAATAGGGCAGTAGAATTATCTACCAGTTGGCGTTTTCTAAGCGTTATAGGTAGCGTGCTACAATGTTTAATTTGCTCAACTTCCCAGTTGTGTAGAGTGCTTTTAGGAAAGCATATGATTAATTTCTTTTTGAAGACTTTCTACCTAAAAATAAAAGCCATTTTATTACAAAATGTTCATTAACTTAGAAGAAAGTAACTTTATTATGAGCTTCTGTACATCTTCATCAAGTTTTGTGGACACAGCTGCTAGCGGATCAAGTTGGTTGTTAGTGAAGGAGCTGTGTAAGTCCTGAATTATTTTTAGCATTCTTATTTCGTTTAAGGAAAAAAACCTTGTGATAATGACTGTTAGAGAGAAAATCTGTGACCTATATTACACACTCTGTGTCCTTAGATGCAAATACTATTTGTAGAATATTTATGCCTATTTTACATACCATATAATCTTTCCTTTAATGATATTTTTCAAAGGTTTGCTTAATTTGCACTCCACACTAGAGGATATGCTGATAAGAGAAGTACTGCCTGATCGTTAATGAACTTTCCATTAAAGGAATCGGTGTGCAGAAAACCTTACAAATAAATTATGATTATTCGGTAGTGTCACACAGTGGGATATAGTGAAACCTTCAGAACAAAAATTCTGAAAAGTACTCCTGACAGTGGTGGACATCCCTGGGTGAAAAACTTTTAATCTGCAATAAACAGAAGATACATCATGCTCTGTGTGATTTGTACAGGATATTTCTAACTTCAATTAGAGTATATGTGTGCTGAAATAGTTTGAATTGGCCTGCAGCAGTCCACTCAGCGTTGTTGGAGGGTAGCGCGCTCTGCATCAGCAAGCATTGGCACGGTCGCAGTGGATCAGTAGGTAGCTTTGGGCCCTTATGTTTCCATTAGATTTTGGAACAAGTTTCGTGTGTTGGGAGCAGAGCGTTTTGGCTCAGTTACCTCTGAAAGGGGTATAATTTGTGCACGCTGAAACTGCTCTGGGATCCAGCCCAACATGCGGTAAGTGAAGATGTTGGGGGAATTTGCTTCAAGACCACACAGCTACTCCAAACCAAACACTAATGTAGGCATGGCCTATAAAGCATGGAATATGAAATTAATGTGTGCCTTTAAAGTATACTCTGTGTATACAGGTCTTCAGCTTTGACATTGTGTAAATAAAAGTAGCCACACCAAGGTAAATACGGGTACTTGAAGGTTGATACAAGTGGAAAATCTATATAAAATATTCCATGATTTTGTTTCTATGTAGCTGTACTGCTGACATTTTTCACCGTTATATATAGATTTTTTTGTTCCCTGTCTTTTAAGCTGCACACTTTTTTCTTTTTTTCTTTTTTCTTTTTTTTTTTTTTTTTTTTTAATTTAGTGCTGCTTTGACAACTTGGAAACACTTTTTTTAAACAAAAAAAAGGTAATTTTGTAAAGAAATTATTAGTTAATTTCAGCTAGAGTAATATGTTATGTTGGCCAGGGTTTTTCTTTGTGATAGTTAACCATTAAATCATTGAATCACAAACTTCCACAATCTTCTTTAGTCATAGAGCCAGTACATTAATTCAATTTTGACAAGACACAAGAGTATTAAGAATGCAGAGGAATTAATAAAGTGATAGAATATAAGACATCTGAGGTGGCTGTATTCTACGAAGTAGTTTGTCAGAAACTGAACAAACTGAAATAAAAGCTGGAATTTGTCTCAGTGGGGAAATAATGAGGAATGAGACACTCTTGCCTTTAGAACTTCTTAGATATTGTTCTTTTTCTTTCCTCTGACAGTATGCTGCTTCACTGAAACCAAGCATTTCACAGAAGTGTTCTGGCTGTGACAAAGCTCCTTTCCTGTCAAAGGAAAAGAAGAAATGTGTCCTTGCTCCCAAATTACTACTTAAACTATCCTGCATTTTTTTTTCATATTTCTGTTGCTATTTTAAAAAAAATATCTGTTTTTACAATGAAAGCATGAAGAAATCTGATAAAACTGAAAAGCTTTATTTTAAAGTCTGAAATGGATTGTGCAAGTTACTCTTTAGCAATGCTTAGTTTATATACAGAAACATTCAGAATTCTAGACAGGTCATCAGCTTGAAGTTGTTAGGTGAACCTTCAGGGAAGGTAACACCATTTGCATGGACAGTTGTATGAGTGGGGTTCTGATACAGTCAGTACTGTGGCTCAGACAGCTGGAAGCTTCCTGGCTTGATGAAAAAATTTCCTTTTTTTTTTTTCAGTCAGTAAGGAATTATTTTCAGATCTCTTATGTACATTGTTTATATTCTCCTTTCTGATGATGAGAATTTCTAATAGTTCTTTTGTCTCTTCCAAAACAGAATTAGACCACAGCTGGCCAAAGAGAAGATTGAAGGATGCCATATTTGTACATCTGTCACACCTGGTGAACCTCAAGTGTTCTTGGGAAAAGATAAGGCCTTCACTTTTGATTATGTCTTTAACATTGACTCGCAGCAAGAAGAGATCTATATACAATGTATAGAAAAACTGATTGAAGGTTGCTTTGAAGGCTATAATGCCACTGTCTTTGCTTATGGCCAAGTAAGCATTACAATTTTATTTTAACGTATTTATTTTGGAATAAAAAGTTTCTTGTAACTGCTCTTTCTTTAAATTTCAGAATGCATGAACCTGGTTTTTAGCATCTTGGTTTCATTTTGAATGAGAGGTTCTATAGGAGACTGTTTAGGAGTTTGTTTAGATTCTGTGCAGAATGGTAATTGAAACACGGAAGACATATATAGGCAGTAGGTCTGAATTAATAGTAATGCTGAAAACAGCATGAGTCCATGTAATTCCTGAATTCAGTCCAATGCAGCAATACAAATTAGTGACTTAACCTACCTCTATATACCAACTGATTGTCCTGAGATTCTTTTCTGATCAGTTATCCATTCCTCTGCATTTTCCGATTCTTTTGGGAAGAGGAGGTTGTTTTTTTGTTTTTTTGTTTTTTTTTTTGGATCCTAGGCAACTCCAGGCCACACTGTTTATTTGTGGGCAAAATGTAGAGATCAGATTCCAAAGGCTGAGAACTTTTAATAGAGAATACACCCACTCAGTACACTGGGCACACATTTTACTTCTCAAAGGTGCGATATTGAGCACAGTGTAAAGACAGTGTTATTGTCCTCTGAATGTTCCGTTAGGAATTGATTGCATAAAATATGGTCTTGGATACTGAATTTCACCACTGCTAAATGTTGTATCTCAAGTTATCTCGGTGAAGTCTAGTCCTGGTGAAACAGCAGTTTGCAGATCCAGTTTAGTAGATTGTGTTCAGCTGCGTGATGCTATCTCTGTCTTAGACTTGATCCACTAATTAAGTGACAACATAACACTACCTTTTCTTCTATAGGACTCCACATTTAATTAAGCTCTTCCTACTGAAGGTACAGCTTGTGTTTTTCACTGCTGTCTGAACAATGGTAATACTCTGAGATATTCAGACATCATAATTAAGAGAGTCATTTGATCTACTTCAGTAAAGAATTGCAAATGCTGCTTCTACCTCCAAAATACATGCTTTAATTAGCAGTCTCAGTTGAAAACATTAACTATTCTTTTGACCTCAGATGATAGTTCAAGGCTGATGTAAGCATCTTAGAGGAACCTTGTAGGGGAAAAGTTATGAAAGATGGAGCTGGTCTCTGCCTTCTTGTATGTGATCTGTGGATAAACAGTAGAATTTGTCCAGCTTCTGCTGTTGATCCATTTTTCAAAATGATCTGTTGTTGTGCATGTTAATATTGTAAAGATGGCAAACTGACTTAGCAATCGCTATCTGGTGCTAGTGTCTGCAAACTGCATTTCTCTGTAATGATTTGGCACTATTAACGTGTTCTAGTGACTACTCCTCTTTCAATTTAGACAGGTGCTGGCAAAACATACACCATGGGCACTGGATTTGATGTCAACATAACAGAAGAGGAACAAGGCATTATATCACGTGCTGTTAAGCATCTTTTCAGATGTATTGAAGAAAAAAAACAAGCTGCTATTAAACAAGGACTTCCACCTCCAGATTTTAAAGTGAATGCACAGTTCTTAGAGGTAAATATAATCTGTGTTTGTGCGTGTAACTTAATGATTTTGGAAGGCCAATTAAACATTTTTTTTCTGGTTGCTGCTTTTAAGTTCTTTTCCCACAAGATCTTTTGAATTAATCTTTGAGATTTCAAAAGGAAATTTTCAGCTCTTCAATTTATGAAAATAGCCTTTTAATCTTATTCTAATTATTTTAGTAGTTTCCTTTGCAGCATTAAAGTGTAGGAATAGTTTTTATTAGTCATCATTTATCCCTTTCTGCAGCACACATTTGTTTGTGCAGCCTGTTGCTTTTGCCTGTTTGTAATTCTTTACATAACCTTAAAGCAAGAAACTATAACAAAAAAAAAATCAATTGTACTTTGTGCCTTTGAATAATGACCGTGCTTCAACTGGCTTCTGTCACTTTGCTATAGATTTCTTCAGCTTTCAACATCTGCACAGGAGACTTGTTATATTCCTTTCACCAAAGAAGAAACATAGTATAAAAATACTTCTTTTGGTGATCCCCAGTGGTCTAGGACTGGGCTTCTGTGTCACTGTTCCCTCTTTCATTAGGCCCAGAGAAAACCTGGGTCAGTGCAGTAGAAAAACTGTTCCCTTTTGTGTTTTCTTGTAGATGCAGCTCTGGTAAGAGAGGCCATAATGTCCATGATTTTTCCAACCTGCAGCAGCTGTTAGTTTAAGTCTTACAGCTTTTACTCGGCGTCTCCTGTCCGTGGAACTATTTTTTAAATTGATTGATTTGGGTGTAATATATTTACATTCACTACCAAGCTGCGAAATCTGGTACTTTAAGCACACAGAGACAACGAATCAATTTAAGGAAGAGGTGTAAATGTGTATTAATTAGTTCAGTACTTGCAAATTTTTCTACTTTGGGGGGGAAACCGCCCCACTTTTATATTGCCCAAGAGAAGAGCTTTTGGTTTTATTATTGCTGAAGTAAACTAGGTCCTTTAGTCATACTCCTATAATTGTTTTAAAGATTAACAAGCTGGCATTAATTTTGCACTACTATAGGTTTGTCAGTGCTAACTGGTTAAGCAGAGTTTTTTGTTGCTCTGGCTGCTGTTTGCCCAGATTGAGTCTAGCCTTGAGCACGGGCCGTGGGAACGCTGTACTCTTCTGTTCTCTCTGTTTGAACATTGGGGAGCCGCAGCTTCATTTCTGCTTAGGCAGCAGCAATAGTAGTAGTGTAACGAGTAGTAACCAGTGTAGTTTCTGAATTCCTTGCGTTTCTTGACATAACATTACAAATGTGACTGCAAGAGTCCCAAAAGACAGAGCGATAATTGAATGTTACAGTGACAATGGTATGCGGAATTGCAGCCATTACATGTCTATTTTAGAGAAAGGTTAAATGATGTATATAATGCTCCTCCCTTAACAAAATGTCACTTCTTTTGGTAATTTTTTTTATTGTACTGAGGCTAAATTGGAGCTTTCTCAGAAAGACCCTTTTTTTTATTAGTTACGTATTATACACTATTCTTGTGTCAGAAAGTATCCTCTTCCTCCCATCCTGCCTACCATTAGGGCCAGATTAGATAAACAATATTTTAGTCATTGAACATGTTGATGCAATGTTTTATTTTGGAAAAACTTTGAAGTCTGACAGCTGGATGACTATTGGGAACAGTGACTTCTGTTTGCTACTTGCTTGCTTTTCTTTAGCTTGCTGCAGTCTGCCTCTCTTACTTAACTCCTTGCTTTCCTCATAACTTTTCCAAAATATAGGCATATGCAATCCCACGCAATTGTAGATGCATTATCATGTTTGTCTCTAAATTGTGGCATCATTTTGCACTTAGCAAGGTAAAACATCAGTAAGAAGTCTCCTCCATATTTATGCCTAATAATTAAATATAATTCCTTTTTAATACGTAAAGAATTAAAAGCATCACATGCACAAATGCTGAGCCTTTTCTTCTCAAGGATAGATTTTCACTTGTGAGAGGAGAAAGCCTTTTGCTTTCAGTGTATGAGAAAGGACATTGGGTGAATATAGATTTATTGCAGTCATTCCGTGGCTTTTACATAGGGACTTTTTTCAGGGATTTAATCAGTCTGGCCTAAGCTCTGCTGAAGGGAATTGGTATAACCAAATCGAAGAGCACTGGAGCTGTTCCAGTGTACAGCACAGACCTGAGCCAAGAGGTTCCCAGTGGGACGCTGTTTTTTCTGGGTTTTTTTTTGATGTTTGCTCTGGTATCTTCAATTGGATCTAAATGCCTTTCCTAAAACCCAGAACGTTCCTATGAAATCATAATCCATCTCCTCTAACACAGATAACTGCGTAGTAATTTCTGATGTCTTTACTGGTTCTGATATCATTTACTGACCTAGAAGTTTGATGTGCTTAATGATACTGAGTTGAAAGACCACTAAATGTACATGAACTTACCTTCAGGAGACCCAGTGAAACAGGCAGTAAACATTAAGCAGCCTGAATCATATAGTAAATAGTTGCTGTTGCTCATGTGATTGCGCCTGAGAGTTGTAACTCAATCTGGGGCACCAAAGTGTAGGTATTATATGGAGGAAAGTACAAAAGCCCTGCTCAAGGAACCATCACATAAATTTTGGCCTGCTGGTTGGTGTCTTTAATAAGCAGCTTGCACAAAAACTATCGTATGTTAAATTCCTTCCAGGGCAGGAATAGTTTGTCAAAATGAAAGAGAGACATAAAATTATTAAGGTATGAGAGAGGAGACTGGAAAAGGTGTGATGGCAGGGAGAGCAAGTGGAGTGAGTTTGAAGTGTCTGGAGGAGGGTGCAGCCAACTGAATTAACAAAACAAAAGCCAAGCCCAAGGTCAGACCTGAAGACAGCAGGTGCCTGCCAGAGAAACCACTGCCACAGTTGTTCTGCTGGCCCAGAGTGCCTCCCCTTCCCTGGTCCCACCAAAGAATTTTCTCCCAGGTCTGATGACGTGGGGGAAGTTACTGCTTCTTTGGACGGCGTAACAGTAAGGTGGGCAGATGAGTTCATTTGCAGCTGTTCCATCTATCATCTTATTGTCCTTGTAAACTTGTATTTTTCACAGCATCCTTTTCGGAGACCCTTGGCATTTGGATTTTTAGAACCTTCTGAATGTGCCATGCACAGATTTGTTAGTCTTTTGAAGGAATTCCTGAAGTCATATAAATTTTGTCTTTATTTTTTTTTTCTTCCTCCTCAGCTTTACAATGAAGAAATTCTTGATCTGTTTGATACCACGCGTGATATTGATGCAAAGAATAAGAAATCAAATATTAAAATACATGAAGATTCAGCGGGAGGAATTTATACAGTGGGCGTTACAACCCGAACTGTGAATGGAGAATCAGAGGTGATCATTGAAAACAAATCACTCTGTAGCATACCAAGTGCTTTCTACAAATGTTGTCTGTCTGTTTTGATAAGCAGTTAAAATTAGAGGTTATGCTTGCTGACATCTGCATCTTAGACAATTTAGGTGTAAAATTTAGCTGAAATTTTTATTTTCTTAATTTCTGTAGATTTAAATCTGATAAATGTCTGATACCAAGTGCATACCACTTTCACTTAATGCTAGAAACAGACTTTTGCTAATAGTATAGTTTTGCTGAGAGAGAAAATTTTGGCATGTGTGTAAATCTAATCTCCTAGATCTTATGTATGTTATTTTTCCTGTGGCAGGAAAGCTTTGCATGATGACTGATGTGATGTAAATTGCCATTCATAAGCATCTGTGCATTGCAAAGCTGAATACAAATGTTACTGTCCGTTTTTCAACAAAAGTACAAAAATTGTCCATTTTGGCTACAGGTGAATGGAAGTAAGACTGCTATGTTACTACCAGGGGACAGTAAAAAGAGGGGTACAAAGATTTAAATGTTTTCTTTCAGAAACCACCCCCCACCCCCCCTTTTAGTTTGCTTATTTAAGAATCATTGTGCTTTTGCCACATAGGAACTGAAATAATAGCAAAGAGAAAAAGCTTATTTAAATCAAAACAATAAGTGTTATAGGAACACTTTTTATCTAAACCACAAGCAATGCAGTGTACTTCTTGTCTGTTTTCTAGATGATGCAGTGCTTGAAGCTGGGGGCTTTGTCTCGAACCACTGCCAGCACTCAGATGAATGTTCAGAGCTCACGGTCACATGCTATCTTCACTATACACTTGTGTCAAACCAGAGTCTGTCCTGCATTTAACACTGTACGTATCTTTGCTGTTATTAAACTTCACTTCAGTAACCATTTTTCAAAATGTGAATATTGTTTTGGCAGCCACTGCTATTTGAATTGCACTTGGTGAAGATGGTACAGTCGTCATCATCATGCTCGATGAATTTGCTAAGCATTATAATAATTTGATTTAATCTTTGCATATGTAACCATCCTCTAGCCAGAGGCAACAATAAACTGCAGCCTCTTACATGAACCTACCCATTCTCCTCTAGCGTTTTCTTCAGTATTTCATTGCAACATACACAAGTAAGAAAGTTAAAATGTAATTTGTCTTTAATTGGGAAAGCATTTTTAAGTGTCTTGGTAACTAGTGGGTTTAAGTTTCCAGTCAGCTAACTGAAAATGCTTGGCTATTCCAGATTAAGTGTTGATATCTAATCAGGAGCAAGTAGAAAAGCATTTGATTCTGAAGTGTAACATACTTGTTTTAAATAGATATACGTTTGGGGTTCAGATGCGTTGAGTCTGTGCACTTAACTTGAAATTTAAGCTATGAATGTACACAGAGCTGTTCTACAGAAGACTTTTGTGTGAATGTTCAGTCATTAGTTGCTGTTGGTGTATCGTGTAAAGAGTAGAGCTCTGAATAAATCCGTGCTACTGAAAGCTACAGTACATTCAGGGAGACTTAATTTGATTATTCTAAAGGTATCAAAATTTTAAAATATGTTGGTGAACCCCTAAGTACCTGGCTAGCATTTTACTCTTTTACACATAGATATCACATTTTTAAGCATGTGGAACAGTGAATTGAATTTGTCGTGCTTTTTTTGGGAGGTTGCTTTTTTTTTTTTAACATTACAAACAATAATTTGCAGGCAAAATGAGGGTTGCTCCCTGGTGCTTTGTGGTATGTAGACCCGCTTTATACACCTGTTAAAAACGTTTCTTCCCTCTTTCCACGCTGAAACTGCGGGGCCTGGTGATGTGGGCAGCTGTCTGTCTTCTCACTCAGGAGGGGCTGGCATCGCACTCGGAGCCCAGACAGGGCACCTCAGTCACTGCGTAGTGACACTGTCTGCTTGGAGGTTTTGGTGAAAACTGTCCATGTTGCTGGAGAGAGATAACTCATCTGGGAGCTGGCTGTCAGCGCAGCAGCCCACCTCCGCTGGTGGACTTGCAGCCTTCCCCACCAGCTGAGCCACCCGCAGGACTCTTGCCTGGCCCTGCCTGGTTTTTAACAGAAGCTGTGGCACCTGTTGAAAGGTGGCTGCCTTCTGCCCTGTGTAAAAATGTGGTTTGTTCCTTCTTTTTGGGGAGATAGGAGCAAGATAATTTGATTCTCTGGAGCAGGACATTCCTAGATCCCGAATCTGAAGACAGCACCCTCTTCTTTCCCTGCAGTATTGAGGAGAGTAGAGGTTAGACCTGACATTGGCCTGAGAACGCTCCCAGAATATAAACTAATATGAGCCCTTATTGGGTGGCCAGGAGAGATGCAGCTCAAGTTTCTGTTGTTGCTGCCTTCTGTAGACAACAGTTTGGGGAGACCTTTGTTACCAGGGCAACACAGTTCCTCGGGTGACGGTGTGGGCTCTGTGCCTGTCTCCCTGAGCACGGCCCCGGTGCCTGGGGTGGGCAGGCAGCCAGGGCTGCTCCTTGCGCTGTGTTCACACTGCCTGTGCTTCTCAGAAGTCTCGGGAAGTATGTTTGCTTTACTAAATAAGCAAGAGAGAAAAGATGTGTTAATCATCGCTTTGCGGGCTGGGAAAGAGAGTGATCCACCAGCAGCCTAAATGTCAAAATAGTTGAGAAGGTGTGACAGTCCAGTCTGCTGGAAGTGGCACAATTCCTGTTCTCTTCTGAAACTGCTGCAAAAGGAGATCACTTAAGAAGCCTGAAGTGTTTAACTACTGTGAGAACAGTTTGGTCTGCAGCCACATGCATTACCCCTTGCGATAGCAGAGGGAGTTGGGGCCTAGCTCACTAAGGACATAAAGATCATTGCCACAGAATACCTGAGGATTTTTTAAAGAAAAAACAAAACAATCCATGCTTACTGTGATATAATACTCCTAATAAAGCCTGTAGATTTGGGCTGTATGAATAGAAGTCCAGTACACACTCGATATGTACCTATTACACGCTGCCATGGCAAGTAGGTAGAAATTGCCCCGCAATGGGTATCTTAGCAGGAAGGTCAGGAACGGAGTGATTTAAAATTTTTTCTCATTTAGTGTTGCTTTCATGACAACAGGTCTAACTACACTTCGAGTAAAATAAATCTCCGCAGTATATGGTACAGCTACAATAATTGACAGAGAAAAGCTCAGGATTATCTAATGAAAAAGGATAATTTTACTACTGTGCTTTGGGATGTGAAGTGGAAAGAGGCCGAGGCTACAGTACCTACCTGTAGCACAGTGTGTTCCTGGGCAGACTCACTGTGCTGACGGAGGCATGCATCAAGTGTCAGTCATTACAGCTTACTTGGGGGGGGAAAAAGTAAGCTCTTTTTCTCTTCTTTCTCCCATATTCCCTCTGCTGTCCTTATTTCCTGGTCAGGTTAGAAGTGCTGGTGGAATACTGGCTGCTAAGAAAACTGGCTTAAAAAAATAATTCCTAAAATGAAGTTGAAGAATCATGCCACAGGGATGCTGATGATGGGGATTAGAGAGGTATAAAATCAAAACACCTTTCAGTTATTTGGCAGGTTTATGAACTGGTAGTTTAGGAGGGTAATATTATCCATACTTCTTTTTTAAAAATCTATTTCCTTTGACAGTTGATTTAAAACTTGCATTCCAGGAGACGTACAAATTTTGTTTCCTAACTTGCTGATGAGTGTTTTATTTTTTAATATATGTATTCTCTCCTGCCCTGAAGTAACTGGTATATTGGTATTCATGTCCATCTAGAGCTGGGTCTTCAAGAATAATGTGCTAGTAGATATGACTAAAATGCAGACAGTTTTTTGAGAGAGACTGATGTTGTTATAAGAGAATGACTAAATAGGGAAGGAGATGGACATTACAAATGGGTTGTCTTGTAAATAATAGTTGATTGAACGTTGCAGTAGACAAATGTTAATGTGAAAGGCCTGACCAAACTTTATGGGTTCTTCTTTATTTCAGGATAATGCCACTGATAACAGAATAATATCTGAATCTTCTGAGATGAATGAATTTGAAACTCTTACTGCCAAGTTCCATTTTGTTGATCTAGCGGGATCCGAAAGGTTAAAGCGAACAGGAGCTACAGGAGAAAGGGCAAAAGAAGGCATTTCCATCAACTGTGGACTAGTAAGACTATACAATTTGTTTCCATCTTCGTGTTGGTACCATCTTCTCTTCCTTTTTCTATCACTTATTTTTAGTAATCCCTAAAGTTGAAATGCATCGTGTGCAGAACAAGGAGTGTAGCATGAGACGTAACAGTATATATTGATTCTTACTGGGTTCTGGCTTGCTAACATTTTCTCAGTTGTACTAGACCCTAACTAGCAAATTATAGTACTTGAGACTTGTGAAATATAGTTAGTTACTCTAACTTCCAAAAGATATTGTAGAGGTATTCCTTTTTACTTTCTTATTTTCATTTTTTATTCTGTTGAGACCCAAACAGGTGGAGAACTTTACAGTTTGCAAGGAGTACAGGCATGTAAAACATGGATAATGAATAAGCTTAATTGATCAATAAATTCTGGTTCTTTGGTATAATTATGAAACATAATGTAAAACAACAATAGGCAAAACACTATTAAATATTTTATTTAATTATAACTACACTGAAAAGTAGAGCTGGTGATTATATGTGGAGTTTGTAGTTTCACACCTTTGTTTTGAGCTACTTGGCTGTGTGGAGGCTCTGTTCAATTCTCTTCTCAAGACTCAAAAATACATGTTTATTTTATATGTGAAAAAATGTCTTTTTTTCTGGTCTAGTGTGTAGTACCACAGAGGTATTCTGCAACTAGGACTTTCTTAGCGATTGTCTTGTCATCAAGACAGTGGTTAAATTCTGTAGTTATTCTGCTTATATTATATGTAAGAGAAGTGGAATTCAATTCAATTCCATAATTGGTATAAGCGCAAAGCCAGCAGAAATTTGGGGGTTTAGACGATATAGCTGTATCCTTAACAAATAGAGTACGGAATGTACAAAGGTGAAAAATCAGTGTGATGAAAGTAGGATTTTATATGAGCACAAAACTTTTCATTTACAGTGAATTCCAGCCATCAGCTTTGGGAAACAGATTAAAAGTGATTTAAACACTTCAAAGCAGCACAGAATGTGATGTATACACAGTTCTTCAACTGCTGGGTGCAGTAAGACTATTTTCAAGACTAAGAACTGGCTGTACAGGGTGCCATCTAGAGGAATGTTCTTTAATTTAGCGTATGATTGAAATGCATGCAGTTGCACATTAAAAATAATTTTACAACAAAATACTAGGTTGTTTATAAACATGAATTAGATCCTTCTAACAATGAAATGGAGTGGCCATGGACTACATAATTTCAAGCCTTAAATGCTTAAATCTTCATCAGACATTCTTTATTTCATATCTGCAGAGGTAGTAAATGTTGGGTTTTTTTCATATAAATGCCCCATATTTTATTCTAAATCTAACATAAAGCAGATTGATAAAATGAATTTTAAAAATAATCTAGCAGTAGCTATTAGAGATCAGCTTTAATAATCAAAAGTAAATGTTTGTTACATGAAGTAGTTCTAACTTTAGTTTGCAACTGACATGAGATATCAATAGTCAGTGCACGCAAATTGTGCTAAGCACTTGGCACTTGCAGGTACCAGACTGCAAGTCATCTGATTCACTGTCGATAGCATGGAAGTTTATAGATGTCTACTGTAAAATGTAAAAATCTTCAGAAATATTTTTTTTGTGTTAACTTTGAGTATATTTGTTTTTTCACAATATGCAGAACTCTGTTCATAGCTGTTTTTAAAATAAAACCACTCAGGAACTGATTGTAACTTGTGCGTTACATTATTTGGTGTTTTATAGCTGGCACTTGGCAATGTAATAAGTGCACTGGGAGATAAAAGTAAGAAGGCAACTCATGTACCATACAGAGATTCAAAGCTTACAAGGCTACTTCAAGACTCTCTTGGGGGAAACAGGTATGAAAACTAGAACATTTTATGTATTTCATTGTGAATGGGCATGAATGAGTACATAATCTTCAGAAAGTAAAATAAACATTAAACAGTGATAAAAATAGCCACTCTTTTTGTTGGAGGGAGGTTCCAAAGATAAATTACTGTGGTGACACAAAACACTGGCAAGGCAGGGAAAAGATTTTAAAGAGGCTTTTTGCGTTGTTCTTTTCAGTGGTATAGTAGTTTTACTAGACATGAGGCTTCGAGTTACTTAGAAGTTACCGTTTCCAGGACAAGTCCTTCTCATGAAGACATCTTCAGATTATAGACAGCATAAATGGCAGACTTTGTTACTGTGTTACAGCCTTATTAATTACAGCATAGTTTAAACCTGTGATGAGTTTCTCCTTCAGAGATTTTTTTTTTATTACTTTTTTCTTTAAAATGCTGCTTAATTGTTTGCTCTGATCGCTGTCTGCAGGAGCTTGGAGTCAGCTTACCACAGGCACTGCCATCTTTTTGTAAAGGTTGTATATCTCAGGGTATGGTGCAAATGTCCAGTTATCAGATATTGGACTAGACCCTAACAAAACCAAACTACTATATCACCAGAATTGTTTGTATGAACCTGTTCTGTATACCTGCTGCACAGACAAGGAAGAGAGGCTTTGGCATCTGGAAACTTTGTCTAAGCAAACATGCAACATTAACATGTACAAATACAAAAGGGAGCATTGTTGAGTTGCGTTTTAGCAGGGTAGTACTCTTACTCCACTACTTAATCCAATATGTCTGACTGCTATTTTTAGGAGGGCAGGAAGTTTTCTGGGCATTTCACAAAAGAATAGGAAGAAGTGGAAGAGAATTCTTAAATCTTTGCTCTGCTCTTCAGAGAGATAATTCCAGCAACACTGTGCAGCACTACAGCGAGAGGAAAAGCAGAGAGTAAGACAACACAAATAAAATAAAGGCTAGAATTTTCAGAAGTGCTTAAGGGAGGAAGAAACTCAATAATTATGAAAAAAATTAGCAGAAATCAAGAGCATAGCTCTTCTAAGCTCTTTCTGGAAATAACAACAAATAGCATTAATTGACTAAATTTTATATCAAATACACTAGCTAATGAGCATTTTTTTCAAACCACTTCTAAAATTGTGCTTTTGTTGAAATATTATTTTGACTCTATAAAGTATTTTCATATCTTATAGCTCTGCTGCTCCCCCTCCTGTTCTTTAGGAGAAATCCCATAGCTTAGAGTACAATGTACAGATAGCAAATGCTATATTCTTTCTGTCTGTTTCTGACTGATGTTAAATTTATGGACACTCCACCCCCCATTTTTATTTATGTGATATACATGCTAAGACATGTCAAATTAGCAGTTTGCTGTTAAGGAAGAATTATACATATTAATGTGATTTGAACACTTTCTTATCCATGCTTTGGCATACAAAAAGTGTGGGAAAGCTAAATTCTAATAAATGTGCTGGTTTTCTTCTGGGAAATGAGATAATTAGATTTCTGTTAGCCTGTTCCGTAGCCTTCCAAATTCTACGTGGGTATTACAGTCCACGTTATTGTTTCTCATTTTGCAAATACTTAAAAAGCAATTCAGGTTAGATGCAGTGAGTCCTGAGTTAATGATGATGAAAGCATTGTATCATTGTACTATTCTCGCCATAATCCTGACTTTAATGCTGTAACAGTTCTGAAGCAGCATTTAAATGTTAATGTTTCTTGAATTATTCAAGTAAGAATATGGAGTATTCATGGTTTTGGAAAGGATTATTGTAATGTACAATATGAAAAATGAAAACTTTCATAACTTTGGGGGGGTAGTTTAAAGAAGTGGTAAAATAAAGGGAGTAGAAGGGTTATTTTAAAGACTAGTTTATTGCATGATTCAGATAGGAAAGTGGAGTTCAAGTTGTTCAGTTTTCCATACAGACACCTAGCAGAGCCAGTCATCTGCATTTTAGAAAAGCAATCACATTCTGAACTGAAAGCACAAGTAGTCCTGATGTCAGAATTAAAAATTTGTTCTTAATCTTGCATATTCTTATTTTGAGGACTAAACTCAAGCAGGTGGGGAACTGGCACAGACCTGCAGGAGGTCCAAGGAAGAATTGCTGAAACCAGATCTTTCTTGTATCCTCAGGCTAGTTACTCTTTCTAATTTAGTTTCCCAATGCATATGGTGAATGTAATTGTTTGCCTCGCAAAGGGTTGCAGGGATTAATTTGTCTCAGTCTGAAACTATAGAAGGTGGAGATCAGAATCGTGTCTGCCTAATGCAGATATTTCTCCATTGCCTTGGAGAGGGTGCACTTGTCCTAATGCAACCACCTAAGCTTTCAGATACAACAGAAAAGCAAATTCCTCTAAAGCCTGGTGGGGGGGGACTCAGTCCATTAAATGTAGGTGTTTTCCCCTATCTGTTGAGAGTATAGGCCATGTAGGCACCTTCAGAGCATGACCTACAGCTGGTACTCTGGTTCTGACCCCTCTAGCTGTTCTTACCTGATGTGAAATGAGAGTGTGCTCCAGGGAGCGAGGGAAGGGACCCTGGTTCCTCCATCTGCTTGTTAAATGATGAAACCGCTTGGTTGGAATGAAGAATTTTTTTCTTTTCTCTGCTTTTGTCCCACTGCTTCTTGCTGGTCTGTCTGCTCAGTTTTTCATTTGGAGCAGGGAGTAGCGTTCTCACTCTGCATATCTCATGATGGGATGGCTAGAGGGTATTGTAGGAACTCAAAAGGAAGATGGTTGTTCGTAGCCCTCTTGGGCCAAGAGCTCAGGTCCTGCTGCTTTTTGTGGAAAGCTCTAAGCAGTGGTGGTATGAAACATGGAATAAATAGTTCTAGCCAGATGTACTAAGGGTAAGTATGAGGTTTTGGGCTTCACTTGGAGAACAAGAGATAATTTGCAGAGGAGAACTTAGGCAGTTTGGATCTTGGTAGAACCTGAGGTAGGTAATAAGTGCCTTAGCCTGTTGTGCCCATGTGTGGACAGCTAAGTTGAGCATTCAGGCAACTTTCAGATTAAGTAGGTAGGAACTTCAGGAGTTAACGAGAGTAGGCAGTCCCGAGTACTGTGATCCAAATGACTGTCTAGGACTTTAGGTTGATTTTAAGGACTTAAATCTCACTTTATGTATGATTGGGCAAACAATATAATTTGAAAAACGTTTCTAGGAACACCAGTTAATTGCTTTTATAACTTTACATTTAGAACAATTAATGATCTAGCATCTCCTATGCTATGCTAGGGAAATACAAGATCTAATAGTGCTGAACTTTGTGGTTGACTGCCTTCTGCTGTGAGTTACATAGAGGAATATTTTTCACAAATGTTATGAAGTCACTATTATTGTTTCACCTTCTACCTGCAGACCTGTTAGCTTCCCTCCACTCCTACTGTTCTTGATGTGTAATGCTGACCTCTGTTTGTAACTTGCAGTCAAACACTCATGATAGCGTGTGTGAGCCCTTCAGATCGAGACTTCATGGAAACCTTGAACACATTAAAGTATGCCAATCGGGCACGGAACATTAAGAACAAGGTGATGGTTAATCAGGATAGGGCTAGTCAACAAATAAATGCTTTGCGCAGTGAGATCACACGGCTACAGATGGAACTCATGGAATACAAAACAGTAAGTTCATCCTCTTAGGCATTTTGAAGCAGAAAAAAATCTATAGTTCTACAGCTTGTTTTTCTGTTGGCTACTTCCAATTCATACACTAAAAGTATTTGAACAGCAACTCTAACTTAAACAACACTTCTAATTCCAGCAATTGCCAAAGGTTTTTAGAAAACTTAGATTGCATCCCCAGAGAAAAGATACATCAGTGAATGCCAATGACGTCAACAGATGCTGCATGCTATTTGCTTTTTGAAAGGCAAAAATTGACCTTGTCATGCTCAGCATGAGAAATAGTCACTTCCAAAGCAAAAATTACCACAATTTAGATTGGCACATAAATGAATGCGAATGGTTATTGTGTATTGCTTTTAAAAACTTACCAGACAGCTAAAACAATTTGTGTTTTAAAAATACGTTTTAACATACGTAAGCCAAATACTTGTACTACACAATACTCATTTCTTCCTGAAATTTTAAACAAATAATGTTTTCAGCTATAAACATGGTTACCAAACAGTGTCCTCCTCCTTTGTTATCCTTGAGATAGTATCCTGATTTGATAAAGAATTGACTTCAGTTCCTTACCTCTTCAGGGACTTGTATTTCAGACTAAGATGGAATTACACAGGACACAAATGCTAAGGTGTTGGCCAGAGGTCAATGTTTTGAAAACAATCCATTTACCCATTGTTTGAAACTTTCTGAGCGAAGATTATCTTTTGCTATGAGTGTCTATTTGGAATTTCAAGTGCTCTGTGGATTGCCTTTGCCAAGTTAAAAATTTTTCATGTGTAAATAAAATATATTTACTTTCTTAAGGGTAAAAGGATTATAGATGAAGAAGGCGTTGAAAGCATCAATGACATGTTTCATGAAAATGCGATGCTACAAACAGAAAACAACAACCTGCGTGTTAGAATTAAAGCAATGCAAGAGACTATTGATGCGCTGAGAGCCAGAATAACGCAACTTCTGAGCGATCAGGCCAACCAAGTGCTAGCCAGAGCAGGTATGCTGTGGGTGTGTTCTCTGTGTGTGTAAAATGCTTAATAAGTTCATGAACTTAAATCAGTTGTAAGTTCTTGCCTCATGGGTCCCTTGGAATGAAGTTATATCATTGTAACAGTAGGACCTGCGTTGCCAGGGATAGGCCCCCATCTAATTCTTTCCTCTGCTTCTGGAGACTTCTATTAATATACATAGTTTAGTACCCTGATTTGATCATTCATTTAGGACTAAGAGTAACATGAAATGTGAAATAATTCCTTTGGATATGAATTAATTCTGTGCTAAGCTGTACATGGACTTACATATTTTGCTTTGGGTGAGGACGTGGACACAGATGGGTGACTGTTGGCTTCCTTTTCACCTCATAGAGCAATCAACCAATTGACTGCGTTAGTCTTTTTGTGCACTGTTTGTCAGGTTACTTTTGATTTATGGCACATGCATTGTTAAAAGGTGCTAATGAAATAGAAGAAGTTATTTGTAACAATCCTGATCATATGACACAGAAGAAACAAGAAGTTAATGCAGCTTAAGGAGGAAATATATTTTACAAATCTGATACAATCTAAATGTGTACCCCATACGACTGTTTCTCTTTGCTGGTACCTGTGCCTAGTAGCTGTATTCAGATATTTATAATGTTATCATCTTTTCTCAACCTTTCTCTTCTCCCCACCCTTCTTTCTTTCTGTCCTTCAAAGGTGAAGGAAATGAAGAAATTAGCAACATGATTCATAACTACATCAAGGAAATTGAAGATCTCAGGTATTTGCATAATACATATTTGAACAATTTTTATTAAAAAAAAATAAAATAGAAGTGTTAGAAAGAAAATACTTAAGCTGTTTTCCTATGTGAAGATTAGTTTAGGACAATGGTCCTTCAGCTTCTAAGACCATCTGGTATTGCTCTTGGCCATAGAAAATTGAAGTGTTGATGGTGAAGCTGACAATAGAAATGAAAGTAAGAGGTTGCCTAAATAATGGTGATGATCTAATATTGTTGCACAAAGGACAGCAAAGCTTGGAACGTTTATTTCATACCTTCATAATCTTGTATACAAAAGGTAGTACTGAGAAATTGGTTGTTACAATTTAGTATAAAAAACCGTATTGCTTTCCTTTTAAATTACAAAAAGTATTAAATATTTTAGATATTTTTATTTCTCTGTTTCTTGGAGGTGTATCATGCAAAAAAGATTATTTGGCCTATTCCCAGTTAGTGTTAGATCTACATAATAGTGTAGTTTTTGTGTAATGTGTATATACCTGCAGTGTATGCAGATATCTGTTCTGTATATATCTGTATGTATATTTATTCTGTCTAGGGTATATAATATATATACAGTATACATAACTGGTGTGTAAAATGATCTCATGAAGGGATTTACTACACTTGTATTTTGTGAGACTTCACCTTGTTTTGTAGTTTGTTTTTAAACTGAAGGTAATGCATTGCAGCTACAGATGCTAAAGAGTACAAATCTCATGCATTAGCAATACTTGTGATTCACTGTCTACAATTTCTTTTTTCTTTTAAGAGCAAAACTATTAGAAAGTGAAGCAGTGAATGAAAATCTTCGACGCAACTTGTCAAGAGCTTCAGCAAGATCCACGTACTTTGGTGGACCATCAGCATTTTCTGCTTCTATGCTTTCTTCAGAGAAAGAGACAATGGAAATTCTAGATATAGCCAAAAAAGATCTAGAAAAGCTGAAAAAAAAGGAAAGGAAAAAAAAAAAGAGGTGGTGTATGAATTATAATGCTATTTCATTTGATTTCTCTCTATTAGTAAAGATGTGTATTTTCTTAACCACTGAGACTTTAAAATTCATTCGTTGTTGCTGTGTGGGTTTGGATCCTAAACTGCTGTTCCTTCAAACCCTTTTACACATAGAAGTTATGGGTCTTTTCCTTCTGCATCTTTTCTTCCAGTGAAGTACACGGTATTTGTAGAATGAATGTGTCTGTTGTAATGAATTTTTCTATATAATTATGCATAATGGTAAAAGCACAGGTGCTCTCCATAAATTTTGATATTTTTAAAAAAAACTTCTAAAATGCATCTGAAATTCAACAGGACTTTTCAAAAACAAAATACAGTATGTCAAAACTGAAACAGCTTTCTGAAGAAAAGATATTCAGAATAGCTGGGAATTCTTTGGTAGCTCTTGGAATGGCTTCTTTTGCTTTATGTTCTGCTTTTATGAATGTTTTTAATTTGAGGTTTCCTAATTCATTGCAACATCGTGCTTTGCTGGGTTTTTGCTGTCCAACTTCTCATCTACTAAAATACTCATAGACATTGATATAAATGCCTGTTCAGACAGCAGTTAGCACAGCAAGGATCTGTTTGTGTACGCCAAGACTTTGATTCTATTAGAGACCTTTCCCTTTTCCTTGAAATTTTCCAAGCTTCTAATCTATTATTCTTTCTACTAATGGCCCTTCAAACTTCTACAAGTTAAGGATAAAACTAAAACAGTATAAGCCTGAAATACAGTTGTACAGTATTAAGTAGATTTGAGTTAGTGATATCTGCAATTTGAGGTCCTTTACCTATAAATCCATTTGCCACACAAATGTCTGCTACTTGTAGAGAACATTCATGTTAAAAACAACTATATAACTGTATATAATTTTACAGAAAACTCGTATACTTTTATGGGGATTTTGATAGATTTTCTGCCTTATGTTTGTAGGAACTTGAGGGGAGGATGAAACTATTAAATGAAATCAGCAGAATGTTCTGGCCTCTCTTCAGCCAAACACTTCAATATGTTCTTTAACTGTAAATGCAAGAGCAAAGAGATTTGACTTCATACATTTCAACATGTTCTAGATTCAAGCATGCATTTAAATATAAGCTTAGGTAGAGCCCCAGTTGTTAGGTTGGGGCCTGAGTATTAGCCAGCAGATAGGATTGTGACCAGAAGACAGATAAAGGTTGCTAGATATATTGAGTAATATCTCTTACTGTAGGAGATGATCACTTTAAAAAACATTTAGAAGTTTTACCCTACATACAGTAGTAAGTAAAACACATGGTTGTTGTTTTTTGTTTGTTTTTTTCTTGGTGATATTGAATTTTTGTTGGTGGTGGTTTTGTTGTTTTTTTTTTTTTCTGCAAGAACCTTCTGTGTCCAGTCACACTTGCTCACACCAGGACAATAATCTTGTGAATGGGATAGTCAAGTGGTCTGACCCAGAAGCAGGGACTATTTACCATAAAGTATTTTTGAGATCAGTTTTCTATACTAGCATTATAGAATTAGAGAGCCATAGAAAAAATTTAGTTGGAAGAGACCTCTTGATGGTCTAGCCTTCATCTTAAAGTGGGTCTTGTGTTCTGTCGAATGATCATACTCTTCAAAGTGCTGGTAAGGTTTGAATCTATCTACTGGCCCATCTGTAGTCTGCTTTGTAATAAATACTAACACATTTTTGAGGTGTATGTGTTAGAAAAATTCCATAGAAGCTAAGAAATGTTAGAATTTGAGGGGTTATGCGTATAGCCTGTCGTACTTGTTACCTGCAGAGTGCTTCTATCTAATCAATGAAATGCAAAGTCTGTGTTCAGGATGTATCACTGTGAATTTTTATTCTATTGAAATCTCAGGAAGTGGATATGGGTATGCTAATATATTCCAAAGGGACAATTTACCCTGCAGTTTGGTAGGGATTCTTTGCTCTACTTCTGTCTTCTACAGGCATTTAGCTGCTTTTCCTGTACTATTTCTTTTTAGGGTTGCTGTTCTTTTAAAGTTGTCTAACTAGCATTTTGCTATTAAAATGGGATCAGTAAGCCTAGTTAATAGATTTGCCCCATCTGCTACCTTTCTCGATCTGTTCATTTCCTGGTTATGGGTCAGTGTGATGAAAGGTGCATAATTTTAAATACATACAACTTATCTAAATTGTTGTGAGCTTGCCTGAAGATCTAAGAGCCAGTTTCTGAACGAGCAGCAGGTATGTACTGCTATATATCTGTAGCCTTTGATAAGCATTGCTCATAAACTTACCATAAACAGTTTACACGGTAGTAACGTTTTGGCTACCGAAACACTGACATGCTTGATTAGAGTGTCCCATGGTGTGACCTAATCACCAGAAGCCTCAGAGCAAACCTCCCACATCCCTTTCAATCATTAGTCACCCTTACATACCTGGTAACCTTTTTTGACTGTTGTCTTTTGACTTCCCTAACCTTTATTAAACTAAATTAGTGCTAAAATTACATGGGGTTCAGCGTGTTAGCTCCTAGCTGATACTGAAGAAAGATGGCAGGCAGTATAAAGTGAAAAGACAGCAAAAGCTCTTGCTCAAAACTTGCTCATAGCGGCAACATGAGGAATTTCAGTAGTTGTTGAAATTTAAGCCATCTCTACACTTATAAGTCATGCAGACGTTTCTTTACTTATACATCCACATTCGCTCAAGATGAAAAAGTACAAGTAAAAATACTAACGCTGCCCATCTCATTGCTTCTGATGCATATTTTTTGTTAATTTATTAAAAAATAACAAGCAATCATTGGCATGTACTTTTTGAATCATAAAAAAATAAACTGCAGTTTTCTGCTTTTTAAATAAAAAAACAAACAACAAAACCCCAAATGAAAAAATAAATGCAGTTTGAAGGTTTTTATATTAATTATATTCAGAATATATGATTTAGAATATTAGTACTAAAAATTTCTCATTATTATTTTATATTATAATATGTTCATCAGCATGTGTAAAACTAGTGCACTGGGTTTTTTTCTTGATATAATCCTGAGGATATATAACTGATTCAATGGCAGTAATCTTGCTTCATTTTTGGGATTTTACCTGCCGATTTTAAGTGGCAAAAGAGGAGAAAGCTTTTTCTAGAGCTAAGAGATTTTCTTCAATCCATGTTTGAGAATTATTTCTACGTGAAATATCGTCTATATCTAAAACTTCTTCCTTACTGTAACTTGAATTTACAATTGTTGACAGCGACAGATTAGTTAACCTACAAATGCTTCTTCTTTATTTTCTATTTACTTTCCAACTGTGCAAAATGTATTGCCTTTTTACTACTTGTTGTCTCTTGATGGTATCTTTTAAAATTTCATTTTAAACTCCACAAGCTCATATATCATTTTTTTTACCTTCTTATCACTTTTGCTTTTCACTGTCTGGTTTGTCCTTCATTGGCTTGGCCTTCCAATACTGTACCTCGTGCTTTTGAAGGCTACAGAAACTTGAGGAAAGCAGTCAAGAAGAAAGAAGGTTGGAATATTTCCCAGGTTTTTAATTACCTGTCATTTCAAATAACTGGTTGTCATACATGAAAAGAAATTGGGCAGATTCTTAGGTACTTCAAGAGTAGTTCATTTGGCTTTTCAAAATTCTTTCCTGTATTTTGACTCTCAACAAGCATTTTAACTGGAAGAAACGCCTGTTGTAGAATTGAGGTTGACTCTGGGATTGCACAGTGTTGAGCAAGCATTTGTGGGGAGGTGGTGCCTTTGGGAATCACTACAGAATTAAGTAAATTTCTTTCTTGCATGGCCTGTATGGAATGAAAGGCAGGAGGAAGGTGCAGTAGCTCATGTGGTATGAAATATATAGCAGGCAGTATATGACAATAATTTTGGCATGTGAGATCAAGAAGGTCTTGTTCCTTCCCGCCTTGGTTAAGTCTGCTTCTTTTATTTTTTTAAAGCGTACGACTGAAGCCTTGACCATTCTGTCCACTCAGATTCAGCCGAAGCAGTAGATAAAGTAGTCATAGAGAGCAGTTATGTTGAGGGCTCTAAAAAAAGAAATACACTCTCATTAAAAATGAAAGTAACGGAGATTTTATTTTCCAGCTGTCTACTCTGATCCAAAAAACCCCCACTGAATTCATGCAGATGATGTGAATCCACAGATCAGTAGCACATGAATTAAGCAGTACAGTTCTGCCTGGGAGAGCTGCTGGCTCTCCTTCCTCCTGTCTCTCCCCTTTATTAGGCAGAACACTAAATCTCTGTAGTGATGAGCTCCATGCTGTGTGCAGGCAGAAGGGAAACTGGGGATTTGCCTCAATCTGCATGAAGATTGCAGCTGAGATCTGTTATCATTTAGGCTTGTTAACCAACATAAAACAGAACATGTTGTGGGCTGAGATGAGAATCTGTGGAAAAGAGATCGCGTGGCTCAGAGTTCCCTGTTTGGCATTTGTTTTCTGTACTAATCTGGTTAGGCTTTTTACTTCCAGCCTCCCTGGCTGCTGCATGGTTTCAGATGGTCTAAGCAAAAGCTTTCTGCCTTGCACATGGTCAGCTGTAGCTGGATTTGCTTTCACTGGTGATGAGTGGGGCAGAAGGAACCAGCTAGCACTGAACAGTTTAAAAAAAATTGTATAACAAAAATAGTGTGAGCACAGCAGCACTGTGTTACTTAAAACAGAGCTCTACTCTTCAGAGTGCCAGTTAAAGGTGGCTTTTAGGTGTCACTTGCCAAATTATAGTGTCTCGAATCTACTGAACATTTCTTGTTGCTGCACTGAGTATTGGATTTGTCTTAGGAGTTAGACCTTGAGTCTGAGCCCCCTTTGGTGTCAGTGGAGGAAGATGTGTTTCTAGTTACCCTGCCTGATCAGTGACAGCGCATAACTTGCCAAACTTTTATGCAGCTGAAGTTAAGTGAGGTGGATTCCGCATTATGCAATCCTAACCACATTTTTTCTTTATTACTCTTTGTGGTGTCTAGCCCTGTTTTACCACAATTTCCCACCTATTGGGGATGGTTTGGGTTTTGCACATGTAGTGCTAGAGGGTCTGCCATTTGGTCTGTGCCAGTTTGCAGAGTGCCATTGATTTTTTCAGTTTTTCATTTGTGTGTGATGCCTCAAATGTGCACTTAAAAAATGTTAAAACTCATTCTAATGGCTAATGTGCCAAACCTTTAGAAAAAACCAAACCCAACCCCTGTAATTTGCATAACCCATCACTACAGTTCAGGTTGACAGGAGAGGAGAAAATATAGAGGTACTTGGCTTTTAAATAAGTTTTGAACCATAGTCTGAAAAACAAAAGCATGGAAATACACTAAAATGTAATCTTAGTAGTTGGCAAAAGTTTCTTTTTGAGATGGACAATCCTATTGCAACAATTCAGTATTTTTTGACTCTTTTTGTTGTATCAATGCTTACTTTGAGCATTCCCTTGATGTCAAAGTAGATAACTGATCAAAGGAGTAGTTATGGTATGATAAATTAGGATATTGCTTAAGGCTTACACATAAATTTTCAGATTATTGTAAGCACAGTAGGCTCTGCAGCTTGAGAGTGTAGTGATACCTGTAATGTATGTGGTGCCCACACACAATGTTCTTCCTTTGTTTTGTAAAAGGTGTTCTGGGTACACTGCAACTTCCATGCAAAACGAGCAGTATATGAAGATGTGTATTCTGATTGTCCCAGTTGCAATACGCCCTAAACCAATGTGCAATATTATTTTGCAAGTTAAGCTTAGGAGTAATTAAGCATTATTTTATTACCTGTGCGAGTTTGGAAGTTGTGTTTTACCCATGCCCAACATCTGTACCTTTGTCTAACTACACTTTGGTTTTCATCTTTATTTGGAATGACAACTTATTGGTTTGGGGGATGGGAAGCAAGTGCCATTTCAGTGTCTGAATATTTTGTGTCTGTGCCTCTTCTGCTAGTGTTAAAGAGGATAACACAGATAACGAGCAGGAGAAGAGAGATGAAAAAGGCACTTCGGAGAGAGAGAATAATGAATTGGAAGCAGTAAGTATTTAGTGTTTGGTTTATTTCTTCATTGTTTAAAGATTTACAAGGTTATAGAAAGGAAATTAGGAATGGGTCAGGTGAATACTGTGGCTTCACAGGGATATTCACAAGTGATTGGGGGATGGAAAAGTGTGGGTGTCCTTAAACATCCTTCTGTTTTGTACATTTTGTAGGAGGAAATTCAGGAAGTAAGTGATCATGAGGATGAAGAGGAGGAAGATGATGAGGAGGAAGATGACCTGGAAGTTGTTGAAAGCTCAGATGAATCGGATTCTGACTCTGATGAAAAAGGTGATGTCAGTGCAATATTTTGTAGAATTTTGCAAATACAGTCTGTCATTCTTGGGTTTTGGTAGGCAAGATAGTGTGCTGTCAACCCAGTGTCCGTAATTCTCTGTGGATTATATGTCCAGTGAATTCTTTTTTTCGTTATGGTGCTAAAACATGTAATATACATCTGATCAAGTGTCCTTGTACCGGCTTTAAAATTGACCAAAGGCCATCAGGTGTTTGATAACACATTTCTTCCTTAGTTAGAATATCCAAAGTGTAAGGTTGAGGTATTGGGTTATTTTTATGTCTTGCTACTAATCACCAAGGTGATAGCTCACATTCAGCTAATTTGGAAATGAGTAGGATTTAATTTTGACAGGCTGGAAGTCCATCAGCCTTCCTCATTTTCAGAAGATGTGGCTTTTCGTAGAAGCATTAACACTTGGCTTACATGTGGCGTGCAAATTAGGACTGCTAAAGTCAGAGACCACATCATCAGCAATTCTTTCATGTGAGTCAAGCCAAATGGGCAAACCAAATCTGTTGGTTCCTTTTTGTTTTAGAGTCACACAAACCATTAGCAGGAGTTGCAGAACCTGAAAAAAAAAATCCTCAGCTGATATCTTTGTTGTGGAGCACATAATCTTAAGCCAAAAAAGGACTTAATTGGCTAAAGAAATAAATGAAACTTATAAACTTAGCATATGGGTTAGTCCTTGCTTTTTCCTCCCACTTTTTTCATTCCCTTCACCACTCGACTTCCATGATTGAGGTGGCGCCTCTCTTCTCAGAATTTTGGCTGTATTTTTCTAAGAGCTAGAGAAGGGAAAGTTTCTCCTTGGAGTCTGCCAGCAGCCAAATTTTCCTGTTATAATCTGATGGGTTTATGAATGACAGTTATTCTCCAGCCCTGAGGTGTGACTGAAGTCTCACAGCCTGTGCAACTTCAGTATGGTGAAGGACAGATTGCTGATGTTGATATTTAAATGTGAGGAATTACAACATATGGGCAACTGTCATCCAATGAGAGATATCTTTGCCTACCTTTTTCCCAGTTCTAGGAAGGGGAGAATGTTTAAGGAGGAGACTTTATCATTAATTGCAGATAATAGTTTTGCTTGCCACATTGTGCTTTGTGTAGAGTTCTCCTATGCACAATATATGTGTCAGGAAATGACCCTAACTTTGGAGAATTATCTATAGTTATGTGATTGTCACTGTTACTTTAACAGAAGTCTTAATTTTTAATTACTCAAATCTTTTTATTTTAGAAAATTATCAAGCTGACTTGGCAAATATCACCTGTGAAATAGCCATTAAGCAGAAACTGATAGATGAGCTAGAGAACAGCCAGCGAAGGTTGCAAACATTGAAAAGACAATATGAAGAGAAACTAATGATGTTACAACATAAGATTCGAGACACTCAGCTTGAAAGAGATCAGGTTCTTCAAAACTTGGGTAAGAAGTACAAAATGGTTTAAATCTAGATGTTGTGCAAGATATTAAAATTGAATTCTTGGCTACTTCCCTCACTTCCTTTTTCAAATGTGATAAGAAATTGCAGAAAACAGAAATAGGTTTGTACCCATAATGCCAGTGAATTGTACTTTACTCATTCTAGTTTCTACCAGAATTGAGAAAGAGATATTTTATTTATTTTTTTTTAAAGTTACTGCTATTAACAGGTATTTGATTTGGTTGAATAAGTATTTTCAATTGTCTAGGAGCTCTCATTTTAACATATTCCTTGAGATAGTTCCTGAATTAAAAGTTCTTTCCTGCTTCTCCCTCCCCCCCCTTTCTTTTGATTTGGATTAAAAATAAGAACTAGGATCAGTGGCCTTGCAGAGTTGTTTTACTGACTGAACTTTTTTGAATATGTGATCATATTGAGATGAGAAACTAACTCTGACTCAGGAAGTCCTAAGCCACAAATAGATGAACTTTGGGAGAGTACTGGGAGAAGTGTTTCGTTTGTTTCTTTCTTTTTAAAAATATACTATATATGCTTTATAGTTATATACTTCATATACATTTGCCGTTTTTCCTTATTCTTCCTTAGACCTTCCCTCTTGGGACGTTGTTATGATCTTGTGCATGTATGTGTGTATCTGTGTCTTCAGGTACTCAGATATTTGTTGTCTAGTGCAAAGAAATCAGAAGGAAAGTGTTAATGCTTGACCTCTTATCCAAGAAAACATACAAGGTGGAAAGTTCAAAGCAGTGCAGATGGCAGGAGAAAATATTGTAGGTAACGCTAAAAGCAGAGGAAGCAGTTATCTGCTGTGGCTGATAAAGTGAAAATATCCTGAATAATAGCAAAATAAGGACTCCCTTTTGCTCTAGGTTCTGTAGAGACCTATTCAGAAGAAAAGGCAAAAAAAATCAAGTCAGAATATGAAAAGAAACTCCAAGCTATGAATAAAGAACTACAGAGGCTTCAAACTGCGCAAAAAGAACACGCACGATTGCTTAAAAATCAGTCTCAGTATGAAAAGCAACTGAAGAAATTGCAGCAGGAGGTGACAGAGATGAAGAAAACCAAGGTATATTCCGTAAATTGAAGTGTTGTACAATGAGTGTTTTAATGAAAAATGGGCTGAAATCTCCTGTGCATTTATCTACCAGATAACTCTGTTCTTGCTGTCAGCTTCTCAAAAGTCTGAAAACAGAAAAGATGCGAAGACTAGGCTTTTCCTGGGGGAGAGGGGTGGCTTTTAGGTTTATTGAACAGAAATTATGGTATCAAACATGGAGAAGCTTGTACTGCTTATCAGCTGTTAATCAGCACTTAGTGAAGGAGACACATTAGATGGAGGAGGTAAATTGCTAAAAGCATGAAATATACTGGAAGATGGCAATTTGAAGACAAAACTCTTTATGAGTGGAGGCAGGGAACAGGACTTCACTGTAAACAGATTTTTCTAAGTGATGGCCTCTTTACAGGTTCGCTTGATGAAACAAATGAAAGAAGAGCAGGAGAAAGCTAGAATGACTGAGTCTAGAAGAAACAGAGAGATTGCACAGCTTAAAAAGGAGCAGCGCAAACGAGAGGTGACTTGACAGATAAAGAACTTTCATTTGGAATAAGCATCTATCATTACGATGTGCATCCCCTTGCAGGCACACCATGTGCATATGCATTTGCTGAGACCGGCACGTACCTGTGTATTTTCACCAGTTAAAATGCACACAATTTGGTTTGAGTTCTATGATAACTTAGTTCCTACCTTCAGGTGATAAGTGCTACAGAAAATAGAGGACTTATTCAATATGTCTTTCAGTATTATTTTATTAGTTAATCTTTGCAAAACTGTTGCTACCACCTTTCTTGCATGCCAGTATTCTTTTTGATAGAGAATTGATATAGTGAAACACTTAATTTCATCCTGCTCTTGAAAGAGCAAGAAAACATTGTGACTTGATCTCTTCATGTCACAAGTTTCGCAAACTTGTATTAGTGTGTAAAGGTCTTGGTTGGGGTTTTTTTGGTTTGGTGGGGTTTTTTTGGGTTTTGGGGTGGGTTTTTGGTTTTTTGGTTTTCTGGTTTTTTTTCACACAATCCAGTCCCTGTGGTAGATAATGAAAAAAATATCATGTGCTGCTTGTATTTTTTTACAGCATCAGCTCAAGCTTCTGGAAGCTCAGAAAAGAAATCAAGAAGTTATCTTACGTCGCAAAACTGAAGAGGTATTGTGGTAAAACAGTAATTCATCTCTGAAAACAGAATGATATTGTATTGCTATAACTTAGAGCTCTGGGGAGAGGTAATTGTGTCTTCGTACTCTGTTTCAGGTCACAGCCCTTCGTCGGCAAGTAAGGCCTCTGTCTGATAAAGTCGCGGGAAAAGTAAGTCGAAAGCTGAGTCTGCCTGAGCATCCTATACAGGAACCAAGCTCTAGCGCATCAGTTGAGCATGACGGTTCCAGAACAGCAGCACAGCAGAGGATGAGAATTCCTGTTGCAAGGGTTCAAGCATTATCTGTAACTGCAACAAATGGAACAGGGTAAGGATCAAAACTGTTTATTACTCTCTTAAGAGAACTGATAACTGCATGGACTTTTGAGCAGATAATCTTGTGGTGATACATATTCTAGTAGTTGTTATTTTTCAAACTGCTGTGATGTAATGCTCATAAAATGGGCATTTTACCATTATCAAATGCAATTTGAGTTTTGTGGGTTGAAGACAGTGTGGAATAATGTAAAATGGCATTAATGGACAAATCACATTAGAAACCCCAAATCCAGTTAATTTATTCTCAGAGAAAAATGCCCTTGGTAGTCCAATGCCTGCAGTGTTCTTAAGTACGAGGAAAAACTTGTTGGAAAACATCGTTTAGTATATTGGGTTTATTGGTGATCTTCCATTGTGGTTTGAAGCAGATCTTCTTAAATAGGGAACAACCCTTAGGTGGCATTCGATTTCAATGGTGTGTCATACAAGATGCCACAGTATTTGATACCTGTTTTTCAAATGCAGTATATTAGAGTGCAGCGGAGTTCAGGGCTGGGTGCAGGTAGCTGTCTGGTGCAATGATAAACTGCAAGAAATTCTGCAAGAGATTTTGTAAGTTGTCTGTGAAAAATATTCTAGCCTGATCATTTCCACATTCAAATGTACGATTGGACTACTTTAGACTTAGCTGTATGTTTCTCTTGAATTTATCGCAGAAAGAAATATCAGCGGAAAGCGGTGACGAGCAGAGTTTACTCCTCAAAGGCAGCCAGGATGAAGTGGCAGTTACTTGAACGCAGGGTGACTGATATCATTATGCAGAGGATGACCATTTCCAATATGGAGGCAGATATGAACAGGTTACTTACGGTGGGTGATCTACTAAATGCTGTTGGCTGTATCATCATATTAAATAGAGAGAGAGCAGTGCATTTACATTTTCTGTAAATGAATTGCTGTGATGGTGGCATAGGCAAAGTGATTGGAATCCATTGCAGTCAGTGAAGAAGCTCTAAACAACTCCAGTAAGCATTTGGACCATGGGATTGCTGTGTTTAGTAAGAAGTAAAATGCATGTTAATGGAATCATGTGCAGATATAATGATATATTCACCTGTATAACTTCTTTCTGGAGAAATCATGATATGTTAGTTAAAGTATAACAAGGAAAAGAAAACAAAGCAAAAAGGTGCTTAAATGCCTTAAGTGTTTACTAATTCCTTTTTATGTAATATTATGTCTTTGGGGAAAATAGCAACGTGAAGAACTTACAAAAAGAAGAGAAAAGCTTTCAAAGAAAAGAGAGAAGCTCATCAAGGATGGGGGTGGCAGTGAAGCAGATAGAAACGTCCAAAACATCAATGAAGAGATGGAATCACTAACTGCGAATATAGACTACATTAATGACAGCATTTCTGACTGCCAAGCAAACATTATGCAAATGGAGGAAGCAAAGGTAGGTCTAATGTTAATGCAGAAATGGTAAAATGGAGAAAAGAAAAGACAACTGGTAGCCTTGAAAATGTTCTCATTTAGAAATTAATTTTGTTTTGGCTGTGTAATAACTGAACCAGGGAGTGAAAATTGGCGAAAACTTGGGCAAGGTCTGAAATGAAGAGTGTTTATACAACTCAACTTTCAGGTCTGAGTTTCAGTGTCAATAGTGTGATGCAAGTTAAGATTGCAAAACATTTAAATGTCAGAGCTGATGCTTTCTGTTCTGCTGGCATTAAATGAATATAATTCTTGGGGCTGAAGGCTAACAGCTTGTATCAATTTCCTGCAGCTGTTGATACAGCTCCACTCTTTTGTATTGTTTTTGTATACTTCAAATATATTTAATATATTGTATATAAGAATTTATATAAATTCTTTATATTGCATTTTAGTATATTGTCAATTTTGGAACAGTGGCTTTCTATAACTCGAAAGCCTTTTCAGGCCAAGTTGCTTGTTTAGGGTTGGCTTTTCAAATAGTAATTTAGTAAAGGGAAATTGTCTATTATGATTGATGTAGAAATTTGAATATTACCAAAAGCAGTGAAATCCAAATGTGAAAACTCATAATGCGCATCATACCTTACATGATCTAGCAGGAAGAATCCACCACATACAATCTCCTAGGTCTCTTGGCACATGGTAGCATGAAATCTGAACTGTAATGCTTACCAGTATTTTTATACGACAGTGCTTGAATTCTTCGTCTCCCACCTTGAGCTAATCTGTGCTTTAATACATGTTACATTACCAGCAGCTTTTCCTACTTTATTCACATCAGGGTTTCTTGAATTTTGGACAGGATGGTGCAAGGTTACAGGACTTTACCAGTAAAGAAGTAGTGAACACAAAAGGCTTAATAATTCTTAAGGGTACCAGAGTGATTAATACTGACTGAGAATAATTGTTAGAAAAATGAAGAAAGACTAGGGAGAGAAGTCTTCAAATGCATGAAGACTGCAGAGAGTGAAGGAATGCACTCATTTCTGCATCCACTGTGAATAGCTTAGCTTGTGGAAAGAAGAGGTCTGAGCTGGAGGCTGAGAAGAGCTTTCTCATAGGAAAGGAACTGAAGCATTGGAAGAGTCTGGAAAAGCTGCAGAGTCTGTACTGTGGGGCATTTTGGGGATAGTTTGGAAAAAAATTCTGTCAGATGTGGTTTAGAGATGCCAAGGGGATGAACAGGGTGATATTGCAGCATCTTCACTGTTGCCATTTTCTGTGATTACTGTAATGAATTTTAAAAAAAAGATAAACATGCATTTTTCACCATCTGTTTTTGTTGTTGCACATGTAGGAAGAAGGAGAGACCTTGGATGTAACAGCAGTGATTAATGCTTGCACTTTGACAGAAGCTCGGTATTTGCTTGATCACTTCCTCACAATGGGTATCAATAAGGTAATGTATTAAGTGAAATATGTGTGTGCCAGCACTGTGCCATGTACCAAGAGCAGAGCTGTGCTGTCATAAAGGCTAACTAATGTGAATTTATACCTGTAAAAAGTAAGCAGACAAAACAAAGCTGGTCAATGCTGCTGAGTCACGCTGGTTCTCAGTGTGAAGGCTCTTGTGATCCATTGTTCCCTTCAATCTGCTGCCTTTTCAACGCCCAGCAGAGCCAACTTCACTAATTACTGCATGTTCTTACAAGAGCACTAGCTTTTTGTAATCAACTAAATAATCTCCTTCTATGTTTTTCCACAAGCTCCTAAAGAAGGCTCAGGATTTTTTTTAAAGACCGGCTCAGCCACTTACTTAAAATGTGAGCCTTTAAAATACAGTGAGGTGTGGCATACTTTAATCAGACTTCTACTTTTGAGTAGAGCAATATGGGCTTTTTCTGAAAGCCTTGTGGGGTAATATTTTCAAAATGAGTATATGGCAGTTTATAACCCTGTGCACACATGTATCATATGCTCTTGCTGATGCTTTTCTTTCTGGAGGCCATGCTCAGTGTCATTGAATCAAATGAAAGATTTCAAGGCTATCGATGTGGGCTTTTGGTCAGTTCCACTGACCAATTCTCTGTTCTTTGCATTCTTGATTCATCACTATGCAGGTAAACAAAAAAGTTTGTGGTTTTGGTGGTGTGTTTTGTTTTGGTTGGTTGGTTGGTTTTTTTCCTAAAAATAAAAAAAAAAAAAAAAAAAAAACTCCCACAATCACATTGGCTTTTGCCAATTTTAATTTTTTTTTTTTTTTTCGCATTCTCTGTTCTTTGCATTCTTGATTCATCACTATGCAGGTAAACAAAAAAGTTTGTGGTTTTGGTGGTGTGTTTTGTTTTGGTTGGTTGGTTGGTTTTTTTCCTAAAAATAAAAAAAAAAAAAAAAAAAGAAAACTCCCACAATCACATTGGCTTCTGCAGATTTAAATCTTTTGATTTTTTTCAGCCCTTGGGTAGGTTGATTGAATACCTGATTCCTTGCAGCAGAGTTAATGAGAGAAGTGCCTCTGACTTACTCTGTTAATAATGAATAAATAATGAAAAAACCCTCAAACAAACTCAAACCTTTAGTTGACACCTGATCTTTAAGATGTGAGAGGAAGGTTACAATGGACATGTTGTTTGTGTTTGTAGTTTTTGAAAAGTTTTGGCAATTCTCATTTTGTAACAAAAGAGTTATAATAAAGTATTTGTCATCTTTTTCTTTCTTTCTCTCTCATAGGGTCTCCAAGCAGCTCAGAAAGAAGCTCAGATTAAAGTTCTTGAGGGACGCCTTAAGCAGACAGAAATTACTAGTGCTACTCAAAACCAACTGCTGTTTCATATGCTAAAAGAAAAAGCTGAGTTAAATCCTGAACTTGATGCTTTGCTGGGTCATGCTTTGCAAGGTAATTTTGCCATCTTGTATTCTGAATAGTCAGCTGCATGTCATGTTTGCCTTTCATGCATGCTGTACTGGGCATTCTAGGCTATTTCTTTTCTGAATAGATGCTGTATTTTAACATCTTAAACTCTCTTTCACAATTGATGTGCATGTATGTAATTTTTAAGTATATCCCCTCAGCAATGAAATGTAGGAAATAAAGGATTTTTTTTTTTATTATTGAGACTTTTTAAATTCAAATCATCTGCTTGTTGTTTTTACAAAAGACTAAGCATTTACAATTTGATGACTTTAACTTCTGAATGTGAAATTCTAAATATACAATCCTGTTCAATCATCATATGTTCGTGATTCTGAAAGTGACATTTTATGTCTGTTACGGCATCTATTCTACTTCTCATGAGATGACATTAAGAAAAACTTAGCATACATTTGGGTACTTTTTGTTTTATTTCTTTTTATAAATGGATATGTTTTGATTGGAGTGTTGCTTTTGTTTCCTTGTTGCTGTTATTTACACAGACCTAGATAGCATACCGTTGGGTAAGTATGTTTAGCTTTCTGTGTACTGTACAGCTGCATGAGTTACTAATTCATTCATGTTCACTAACTGGTGCATCTTAGAATTTGTGAGTTTGTGAAGTTTGCATGAACTATTCTGTAAATGTACTCATTATCATGAGCTCACAGAGCATTTCTTCCTTTCTGAAACCACCCATAGCGCTCATGTTAGTTAGATTTGTCAGAAAAGAAGGGAACACAGTAAGCAGAGCTGTATTTTAAATTTGTGACTTGCTGCTTACAAAGCTGTAGTATGTTCCAACTACATAAAGTTATTTTGTGATAAACTACTGATGTAGTTGTGAAAAATTCTGCTCATCCTTTTAGGTCTGAAAAAAAGTAATTCTTAACACACAGGTCATTTTTAACCTTTTGCAGATAGCTTATTTTGTAATGAAAATATTTTACAGAGTGCAGATTATATCTCACATTTTAAGTTGGGTTTAGTTACTGACTTCACTGATTTATGAGGCAGGTGATGAGTATGTTGTTGTTGCTTTTAAATGATTCCCAAATAAATTACTTTTTTCTCCCCTCCCTTACTCCTAGCCACAAAATTGGCTATGTTTTTGAAACTTGAAAAAAATATTCCTAATGTCAGTAACAATTCCTTTTGTATTGTCTTGTATTACTTCTAATCCTGTTATGCTGTCCTGTGCTAGTTTGCATAGGCACCTGAAACATTTCAAAAGCACAGGACTGCCTGAAAATGGTGTCTTTCATCTGGTGTAAACTGCTGAGAACTTTGCCAGCTTCCTGACAGGTGACACCTGAAGATCTGTGTCAGGGCATCTTGCTGCATATGCCCAGTATTTATGATATTAATAACCACTGAGGTTCCTGAATAGTGTATCTAAAATAGACCCTTAACATGTGTGCATGTGTGTGTGTTCACTCCTGTTGGAGTGGGAGCAATGCTTCTCCAGTCAGTAAGTTGATATTGCGCTTTCTTTAGCTCTGGACAGGCTTTTACTTATTAGCGGCATCTGGAGCAGTGGAAAGACACTTGTTAAATGCATTGGAACAGTAGCTCTATTGTGAAAATTTTTGTAGAGTGTAACTCATTAAAGTAGCTTTTTAACACTTTGCAAGCATGAACTGAGGCTTTTAAAACACCTAGGCCACTCAGGACTCTGCTAACAATAATAGGAAGGAAGCTTCACTGTGAGTGTATCTTGGTTGAATATGCCGTACTAACCTCGGTCCCCACTGAAATCCAAACTGTTGAGAGTCTGTTTTGTAGATCACTAGTGGCTAAACCTTTTGAGCTGCAGGGAGCTCAGATGCTGTTGTAGTGAGGCTTTGAGGCTGGGACTGCCAGCTGGTCAGCAAGGACTCTGCTGGTGCAGGGGCTCCCCGGGAACCTGACATGATTCCCAGAGGTGGAAGTGTGGGTGGCAGCAGATCCCGAGACCAATTTCACCAGGCTGCCTGATGGCTCAGTGGTAGTACCCAGCCAGCCCCATCCCAAGCAGAAGGGGTGCACTTCCAGGGTGCTTGTGAACTGTTCCCTTGATGCCTACTTTCAGCTCCGATATCTTCAAAAGTTCTTAGCTGTTTGAATACACTTGGCTTGGAGAAGTTTGGGCATGCCCCAATGGAGCTGAGCACCTACATTCAAACGTAGACTTAAGAAAAGGTCTCAGTCTTCAGAAAAGTACATCACAGGCTCAGGTTTTAACCCTCAGAATGGGTTTTGAATGCACACCTTCCTTGTGTGTGTATGAACCATCTGCCACTCACTATCCCATCTGCTCTTGTGAAGAGTTAACATGACGACGAAGTTGAGTCCTGAAGTGTTGCTGGAGTGACTCCTTTCTGAAGAATTGTAGGAGCTGCTTTTCCTTCCTGCCTGTGATATCTGGACGGTCATGGATGTGACTCTCAGCTGTGTGTATGCAGGTCTTGAAGAGGGCTGGTCAAATGTTATTTCCTCTGGATGAACTGTGCAGGTGTGCTCCATCGTACTGGTACTGTCCAGTTGCCTCTGTATGAGGATGAAGACAAGTCACCAGAAAAGCTCTCCACTGTTCTATAATCATTGGTTTATTAGTAGTCATCTCAGCTGCTGCTCACAAGCTGTACTGCCTTTACTAATTTTATTGCTCCTTTTATCTCTTCTTGCTTGGGGCTTCTTCGAGAATCTTGCTCTTCTGCCTCTTCTCATTTCTTTTTGTTGATTCTGTGTGCTGGTTTCTACCTGGGGCCTTCCTGCAGTCTTCCTGTGCTGAATTGCAGACAAACTGGAGAAAAATTCCAATACATGTGAGGTCACAGGAGTGTGACCCTACAAATAAAATCCCCATCTTTTGTGGCCATTCCACACTTTCTACTTTGTTACCTGTAAAAGCTGATTGCAAGATCTTTATGAGAAGGGGATGAAGTATCATCACTCTAAGATGAATCTTACACTTAAAAAAAAATATTCATTTTATTGATGCTGCTTCTGTGTGTTGCTAGAAGGAGCAGTAGTCTAGATCCCCTCTTCTGCAGAAGACAGAATATAACATGTACAGAAAAGGTTTAATGTGGGCTCAAATCCAGGATGAAACAAAAAAGAAAGTTCAGAATGCTATTCTTGTGACCTCGCTTTCTTTATAGTGTTGTTGTCTTTCTGATGATTGAAGTTACTTTGTTAAAATTAATACAGCAGTTGAGTACCTCTGAAGTGCACTGTCGATGTTGGTGCTAGATTGATGTATGGGTTTGAATTTTAAGGAAACATTTTTAGATGTGGCATACACAAGAAGGCAGCATTTTTCATTCCTTCTCAGAATTCAACTGGAAACTGCGTATCTTTCCTCCCTTTCTTCAAAGCATGAACTTGCACTTAAAATATATACATGGATGAACCTATTTTAATATGAATACAAAATATATTGGTTCTATGCATTACAAGTGTTAACTGCTTTATGGCAGAAATTAAGTAAATAAACCTGAAGCGTCTCTAATAATAAAGAAGAGATGTAATGGAATATCGTTAGAAGGTTACTTCATTCTTAAAATTTCATGAGTATGTTAAAAAATGAGGGACTTTGCTTGCAGGAATGTATTACCTATGCCCTTAAACTATGCTTAAAATGTATTATTAGAATAATATGCAAGTTAGAAGATTTGTTACCCAACAGTTTAGAATTGATTGTATATATGCCCTGGACTTGTTGTATCAGCTTAATGTTTTGCACCGTTTGCATGCAGACATGCTGATCTGATGTTTGACAGCGTTAGTGTGGCATGCGTGGCTGGTTTTGTCTTTTGTGGACAGGTTTGTGTACCTGTTGTACTTCAGGAGCATTTTTACTGAACAGCTTCATTTTACAATTAACTTCAATATAATTAATTTCTTTAGGAAGCAATCCAATATTATTAAATGGTGGCATCATCCGTTTTGAAACCTAAATGCTTATATATTAATAAAGTGCTTGGTTCTTGTCAGCCCAAATGGTGCCATTCTATATAAACTGAGGCTGAGCCTCAGCTCATTAGCTAGTTAAAAATACATTTTTTTTCATTATAACCAGACTGATTCTGTTTTAGAACAAGAAGATTACAAAAAAAAGGAGGAAGAGACATCCTTACTGTCCATTGATTTAAATCCCTTGTCTTCCACATCTTGCAGTTAATTTCCTTTGCTTTATCTTCTTTTCTTTCAGATTTCCTTCTAGAATTTATTTCTGGTTTTCTGTCATCCCTGTTGCTCTGCTACAATAGGCAGAGGACCACATTTGGCACACTATGCCTAGGTGTATGATTTATTTAGGCTGTATGAAAAAAAATTGGTTTAGATACCAGGAAAATTCAGTGGGGACTGGCTAGCAAATAGTCAAGATATTTTTAAAATCCTTGCCTTTTGTATGCTTTTCATTTACATTCAGCACTGTCTGAGCTGTTTTGTATCGCACTTAAAACCTGCATGTCCTGTTGTAGATGGACAGACTAATGTTACTCTCTTGGAAATTTTCTAGAAAATTTGGAAGATAGTACTGATGAGGATGCCCCGTTGCATAGTCCTGGGACGGAAGGAAGGTGAGCAATTTTTGTTAACAGGTAGCTGGATCTGGTTCTAGAAAAATTACTGTCATTTCCTCTTTTTGTAACACATCATGTATCCGTTAAAAGATACCTCTGACATTGTTTTGTTACATTTTGCCCATCATTTCATTAGAAAGAAGAATCAAATAAAAATACACATTCTGCAAAAATATCACTGTTTTCTTTCTAATTATGATGCAATTTTTCTTTTAGCTCATTATCTTCAGATCTTTTGAAACTTTGTGGCGAAGTCAAACCCAAAAGCAAGGTAGGCTTTACAGTGATGATGATGATAATTCATCTACACGTCTTTTAGATGATTCTATGATGCTGTAATAATTCATCCTTTAATTGCTCCTTCTGGAGAAAGCTCTTGCTTTGCTCTAGAGACATTAATGAATGAAGACATGTAGAAGGTGAACTGACATACCATTCATGTGATTTGTATGTAATATGCTTTTGTGTGATAGTCCTCTCTGAGAAACAATAATAAAAATGTATTTTTTCAATATTTTGTCATTGAATTTTTACTGTTTCAGAAAGAGATACGTTCTTCTAATTACTTGCACGCCAAACTAGAGTAGATTTGCAGTTTAGTATTAGTTAGGCTGCAGTCTAATGTTAATGCCAGTGGGAACTGTGAACAAGCTTATTGTTTGCAATTTGCTTCTGTGGTCATAGAAATGTAAAGGAAGTTTATAAAATAAATAGAAGTTTGGCCTCCGGGCTCTTAATTACAGTTGGCATTGGAGGAATATATCTAGGCTGGCTGCAGTTTAATATTAATGGCAGTGGGAACTGGAAACATGTGCCCTGATTGCAATTTTGCTTCTGTGTTCACAGGAGCATAAACCAAGTTTGCAAAGTAAATAGAAGTTTAGCCTCCACCCTTCTAACTGCAGTTGACTTTGGAGAAATATGTCTAGGTTGGCCATTGCACTACTGGTAGCGTTCACTGGTGTGCAGCTCTTTAGGCAGGTAGACTGAGTGAATTTAGTCTGAAAATGTTGGCATAAAATAAACATGCCATTTCTGTAATGGATCCATTCAGACTGGACCTTTATCTTCCCCAGTGGCCTTTCTTTCCTTGAGGAATAGATCTCAATTTCACAGCATTGTCACACCTAACGTGTATGATAAGTTGGGGTTTTTTTTAAGAATTACTCTGTTGCACAAAGCTTGGATACTTTGAGTTTTTCTGTTGTTTTCAAATTGTTGAAATGCTGACTGAATCTTAACTCATGTTGGCTTAAACTACTTTTGAAGCGACATAAACTAAGTAAGAAGCAGTTTGTATATCAGAAGAAGCATTAGTGTAAGAAGTCATGCCAATGTAATTGTAGCTATTTAAATTTACACTTCACTTTATTCCTCTCTGCTTTATAACATTTCATTTGGAGAAACCGTATAGGAGAGTAATATTGTACTCCTCTAAGTATTGACAGGCACTTGTAGTTGGTTGAAAGGATATCCTTGGAAACCAGTTGTCAAATCAGTGTTTTATGCTGTTGAATTTGACTTGCCTCCTCTGAAATCGTTGCCAAAGAGTAGACGTGAGCTCCTTGATTTAGTTTCCGAAGGTAGTTGCCAAGTGGTTGAAAGGGATGCTAATTACCAGCTAATGATAAGTTTAAATGTAGCACTCTTGACATGTACCATGAAATGTTTAAATCACAACTTGGTTTTTATTTGTCTCCAGGCCCGCCGGAGGACCACTACCCAGATGGAATTGCTATATGCAGACAGCAACGATTTAGTCTCTGACATTAGTGCTGCAGACTCTACTTTGGCTGGCCCTCTTGCATCAGTTGCAGAAACCCAAGAAAGTGGGATGGCTGCTGACACAAATGATACTCCTGCTAGGGACAGAGAGTTTATTCCCCCACCATCTGGTTTACCTTCTAAGATAGGCAGCATGTAAGTTTGCCCATGCTGTACTAATTATCCTTTGCTTTCAAAATTGCATGTTGCCAATTTCTTTCATCTATTGTTTTAACTTTACAAAGGAGGTTGATGAACTTGAAGCTTACTAAATAATACTGACAAAGCTCCTCCTTCTTTTCTACCATCACTACTCTAGAAAGTATAAATGCATTGTTGTTAAGTAACATGTTTCTAACTGAAGATACAAGTTCTGTTAAGTTGCTTTGTCACAGTGAAGTTATTGTAGCCTTGTTTCTAAGTAGTTGGAAAATTCCATGTAGTACCTTGGACACTTTGCTATATTAGTGCTATGGGAAATGCACGTTCTAGGGAGCCAGTGAGAATCTGCTTAGAATAGCAGAATAAAAAAAACAAAACAAAACAACAACACCCCAAAAGCCACACCAAAAACTTTATCTACTGTAGTAACAGTATCTGTATATGGTCCTAACTATTAGGTAAAAACTTTCTGTGAGTCCACTTGTGTGGACCATGGTTAAAATGAAGAAGTCCTTACAATAATAGAGCATGCAAGCGTAAAGTCAAAAGAAACATATTGGATGTTATGAATCTTTAAAAATCCTTTCTATCTGCAGGTTGCACTTAACTTGCAGAATGGATTTACTAATTGAAAGCATTACTTGATGCCAAATAGAATCAAAAATATTATTTTTGTCTTTTTACTTTGGAACCAGTAGGTCTCTCTCACATGCACTCTCTTTTTTTTTTTTTTTTTTTCACTTGCTTTTGCTGTTCTTTTTATATCTACCAATATCACTGTTGGTTATTAGCCATTCACTGCTAGAGACCCTTTTCTTGGCTTTTTAGGTACTAGCTCCTATATTGCACAAACTCATGCATAAACTGAGTTCGCTTGGCACATTCAGTGATATGGAAAAAACTGTGTCACATAGCTATATTCATGTTACAGATTCTGGAATTAGGTATCTTTCACTATCCATCTGTCCTATTTGCATAATATTTTCCCAGCAGTCTCCATCTAATATATGTTTGCAATTTATATTATTTTTACTATGTATTTCTAGCATCTGCTTGAGGTGGCAATCATGAACAGTAAACCACTGCTGACAGCAATTATTAACCCATTCTGATGGCTTCAGTGCATTTTAAAAGTAGAATCTGCTTGAAAAGAATGCTCTTGGGGGTGAGGATAGGTGAAAACACCCACTTGTTTCAGCAGTTAGTGTGAGATCACTAGACACTTTTGAAGCTTCAAGATTTAAAACATCAAGTGTTATGACCTGGCATCCAAGACTCAGGTAATATCAACTTTTGCCTCACTCCATCTTCTAGAATATATCCATTTGTGAAAATGAGTCTGCAACGAGGCAAAACAGGATTTTCCAAAAACTGCATTCTGTGAGCATTAGACAGTTACGTGCTGCCAGTAAATCAATTCAATCAGCAGTAGGCCTCACGTATATTTTGGTTTGTTATTGATCATGTTTTAGTAGATAAGTGATCAAAAATTCCCAGAGTCTTCAGTAACTTCCTCACTGTAATTGAGATGTTTTTTCAAAACTAGAAGTCACTATACTTCATACAGTATTGCTATTTTTGCTCGTCACTGGTCACTGTTGAAGAAAGGTTCTCTTCATGAACCATCTGGCCTTCCTATATGGACTTACAGTGTCATCATATCTCTTGTAATAAAGTACATTGTTCTGGAGCAGATTGTGGTCTTACCTGCAATAAACTTTTCCCCCGTGCCATTTACTTATATGGCTTTCAGGGATGTAGAAGCAGTAATAGCAATCCAAAATATGCATTCTCAAAGCAACAGAAATTATGTGCTTAGGTGCAAATCTAGGTGTCTGCATAAGTACAAACTGCTCCACTCTGGAAACCCCTCAGTTTTCTCAGATCTGTGGTGATTCAGAGAGGCACCAAAATGCACGTGGGCAACAGTTCTGTTGGAATTCTGTTTACAAAGATGGCTGGTGCTGTTGTCCCTCGATAGACTCAACAGCAGCCTCTTCAGAGTAGAGTGGTGTCCTGTAGGTCTTGTGCTGGCTCTGATATCCCGGGAAATCTAAAAGGGCACTGGAAACCTGTAATTAAGTGTGCAGTTTGCTCCTTTTCATTTGGGTCATTGACATCATGCACCTGTTTGGTTTTTTGGTTTTTTGTTTTTTTTTTTTTTTACATCTATGCTTGGGAAATTCATTCCAGCAAAACCACCGCATTTTTATAATACCTGCATTTCCAGGATTTCAAAACCAACTCACTTTCAAAACACTTTCTTCTGAAGTGCCACTGTGGAGTCAAAGGTGGAAGACTCAAGGGGCAGGTAGAGAGTGAGCAAGAGGGAGCTGCTGGCTCCATGCCTGAGTATGCAGGATGCTGGTGTGAGGCAGAGGAGCTTAGGTTCCAGTTTATGGTGTGGTTTATTTAGTCTAGTAGCTGCACAGTATAAACATAGGCAACCGTGGCAGTGGAGACTATAACCCAAGTTTGCCATCCTTGCTGAAAGGTCTAGCTATCGGGCTGATCATAGGATTTGCCTTGTGACCCCAGGACTTTTGCGTTCCTAAATGCATATTGGTCCAGCATAAAGAGAGGGAGGTAGTGTGCCCTGTTCTACCTATTTTTCTGTCCTTTGCCTAGAAGGTAAGGGAGCCCTGCAGAGAAATGGGTGCTCTGGCCTTGAGGAGGGAATAGAACCCACCTTCTCCCCTTCTTTTTGAGTACTTTAACTGCTAGGCTTTTGTGCAGAACCAAACAGGTTATCACTTGTCCTCCTTTTCCCATCTCTTGAAGACCCTGGGGGAGCTCTAGGGTCTGCACGCAGCTTTTGGCACTGTCCTACAGGTAGGACCTTCACCTTTAAATTAGGGCTTGTGTTCAGTGTGCATGTGATCCCTTGAGACGCTCTCAGCCACTTGAGTCAAGTTCTTGGTTGTGATGTCCTTGTTAAATCACGTTATTCTACATGCCAGTACCCAGGTGGATTTTATTTAGCACAGACTTCCTCTCAGAGGAAACTGGTACAGCTTTTCTCACACAGAGAAGTTGCAGCTATGTAGATCCAGAGCCTCTGGAGCTCTGAGACCTGATGCTAGTAACTGTGTCAAGCAGGTGGCCTACCATCTGAACTTCATCTGCTTAATAAAGTTGTATGGCACAAAAGCACTTTCAGAATCTGCTCTCTTTTAGTGAGTGTTTCTGGTCCTTATATTCATAGAAACCGCTTCTAAACACATAAAAAAAGGACAAACCAAAGCAAATGTTGCCCAGCTAGTAAGAAACAGGAGTTCAGAAGAGTGGAGTCCATACAGATTCCTTTCTTTTTTTTAGCTGACTGTGGTGAAATGGTGACATCTGGGTGTCAGCGTTAATATTGCACTCTTGATCTTTTTGCTATCTTTAATGGGGAGTAAAACGTTGGGAGAAAGACCACAATGACTGTGAACTGGAATTATTTCAGAGCAAGAACTAGGAGGGATGGAAAGCAAGGAAGAAGGGAAGGGAGGACAAAAGGAAGCAATGTTATAATAGTCAGGCTGTCAATGGGGAATATTTTTTCTCACTTCCTAATTTTGAATTTGATATTGAAACATGAATATGTTAATGCAAAGTTTAATTCATATGTAAGAGTCATCGTGATTTTTCTGTTCATGTCTGTAAGTGGTCTATTGTAGATGAAAGTTGTGGAATCTGAAATTTTAGATCTTAGACTTTCAGTCTTCTCTGTGGTCTTAATTCAAGATGCACACTCCATTGTATTTCTTTCAGTCAGTCTCTTTTATTATTGAATTATTAGATCCCCTTTGTATATTCAGTATCTGGCTCTTTATATGTTGATGAACTGTGAAAGTTAATAAACTTGGTGTATTTTTATATTAAAATGTGAGAACAAATTTAGAGTCTGTAGATTCCAGAGAGACAATAAGCACATTCTGAAATTTGAAATCTGAGTGGAAGAATGACAGCTAATGTATGAAAAGCAAGTTTGTAAAGGGCCTTCAAGTAAAATGATGATTCCTTTTGCTTTAGTTCTAGACAGCCATCTCTGTCAGAGAAGAAGATACCTGAGCCTTCACCTTTAGCAAAGAGAAAAGCCTATGAGAAAACAATGGAAAAGACAAAGGCAAAAGAACAAAAACTGTAAGATTCTTTTAAATTTATTTTCTCTGACATAATTTAAACCTCGAGTATATTTTCCTGAAAAATAAATCTGTATTTTTCTATTTCTTTAATTCTAGGACAGTTTTTGTTGTTGGCAGTAAATTATTCACTGCTCAACTTCTGTGTGTGGGATTTTCTTTCCAGAATATTTTTCTGTATAAAGTAACTCATGAGCAGAGCCCTGAGAAAATGTCCTTTGGAGCATTTGCAAATGCCTTTTTTTTTTTTTGTGGAAGTCATTAGTTTCTCTAAGAAACTGCAGTTCTATAAGAACTTCATTTTATGTATGTGTATTTTCTGCCTGGAGCTTTCACTGTTAGCACATAAACTTTGAACACTGTGTCACCTTGCACTCTGCAGCAGTTTGTAGTCTTAAGTTTATTGCCTTCTCTGGGAAATATCTGTAGCTAGCATGATGATTTTATTTACTTGCTTAAGAAAAGAGCATCTAACATTTGAGGCATGTTGCATTTAACTTCTCTAACCATTCATAACCTGTTAAAGAAGATGTTCTTTTTTTCTTGTAGCTCAGATTCTGGAGCCCCAGAGACTAGTCTGTCACCTCCTACTTCCCCACCAAGCCGGCCCCGTAATGAAATGAATGTTTTTAGTCGTCTTACTGTTTCTCAGGGAAAAACATCAGTTCAGCAAAAGTCACAGAGGGAAGCCTCAGCCCCCAACCAGGGAATTGCAAAGTGCACTCAAGTTATCAGTGTAGTATCTGTTAGATATTTTGCCCTACTCCTGCAAGACAGGAGGAGACATTTCTTGTGTTTTACATGTAGTTCTCAAAGAAAAGATTCGAAACTTCCATAGCCTATGTCTGGTATTTGTAGTTTTAAACCCGAAATAGAAAAGAACAGTAGAATTCTTAGATGTATGTGTATTTGTGTGCGTGCTTACACTTGAAAGTAGGATTGAGCTGAGAATTTAAGTAATGCTTTTGACAGTTATTCGGTTACTCCGGTGTTGCTCCGAGTGCTGTCACAACAGCACCCCAGAGGATGGGATGTTGAAATGGCTGGAACACAGGTGTTTAGAGATTATCCAAATTATTGAATAGACTGATTTAGGAGGTCATCTGGAGGACCAGATGGTATTCATACCTTGTTTAGAAGAAGAGCTCCGTTTCCTGGCACGTTAGGCATCTGTTTCTGTAGGAGCCTTATTCCAAATTGCAGTGGACTTGACTAGAGCAGAATCTTTATTGCCGGTTTCAGTACTGATACCAGTGCCAGGCAGCACTTAGGAACTGCAACTCAAACTTAGAATAAACCCTTAGTTCTGACTGTAGCAAGACAAGAAATTGCTCTTGTCTGTTTACACTATTGTTTTCTATAAAACTTCGGGGGTTTTTTCAGTGGTCTACAGAGTCACCAAGGAGTAGCTCGCAAGGCTTTTGGTAGTTTAACTGTGCTTGTAACTTCTTTATCTTAGCTATGTTACCTTTGCCTTATTGCTAACTTCCACCTAACCCTTTTCTTTTTCTCTGGAGTGAATTTGAAGTCAAATTGAAACTGCTGAAGCTGTTTAATTTCAGTTGAAAATTAAGGAGATCTTAAGACATACTGCAAATGTTCATCTCTGGGGCAGGGATTTTTTTCTGTTTGTGTGTTTTCTTGGTTTTTATTTTTACATATTTTTGAAAATGAGAGGTGAAGGATTTTGAACTGAGGATCATTTGCAAATTGCTGTTCTTATTTCAGTGGGCTATCAATATGTTCAATATTTGTGTTTTTATGATTAACATTTTACATGTTTCTTCTACACTTAACAGGCATTGATGTTCAGATTTTTTTTTTTTCCCTTTTGATATTTTCAACGAGCACTATGTTACGGAGGTTAACTTATGCATCCATCTTCTCCTTTTACTTTATTGCCTTTATTTCTGTAAGAAAATGCTGGGGAAATAAGAAATGGCTCAGCTGGTGTTACTCAGCTCTTGGGCTGACACTGTCTACCAGTGTAACTTACTGCCAAGAGTGCTATTTTAAGATTATTATTCCACCCCCCTCCCCGTATTATCACGGGTTTAAGGTATACCCTGAGCAATGCTGCATACTGTATGTGGATTTGCATTGCTTTTCTGAATTGGCCGTGCTGTTGTTTGTTCTTCTCATATGGAGGCTTCACTTTGCTGATACCTATATTCTTTCTCCTCACAATTCCACCACTGTTGATTGTAGGTCTGATGAAAGTGATTCCTCTCTGTCGGAGGTACACAGGTACTCTCTCTTTCTCTTTTCTGTTTTCTTGGCATCTCTCACTGAAGCTATTCCAGTTCTTAGGAAATTTCATTTTGCTGCATGAATTTTCCTGATACTTGTGCACTGTGTCTCTCTTGCTTTTGCCAGAATTTTAAAAATCTGAAATTTTGGTCAAGCATGTCTCCCCCTTTCCTTTAGGGTGTTCCTTATTGTTGTTGAGCATGTCAGCTTTTTTCTTTTTAAGTGAAGTATGGTATAAACCTTTCCTTAAACATATTCTTTCTCTCTTTTCTTTAAAAAAAGGGAATCAACATTTTCTTAGGTTTTATATGCTCCGCCTTTTTTTTTTTTTTTTTCTTCTTCAGTTGTATGCTTTGGTTGCTAAAAATTAAATCCCAGTGTAAATAAAAATGAGTAGGTTTTTTATTGTCTTTCTGACAGAATGCACAGTAGCTTAAGAGGTGAAAGAAATGTCCCCGTTCATATTCCTAAGATGTGGTTTAGGATTGTGGTACTCAGTGAAAAATTAATTTATCAAGAGAAGGGCAGTCAAAGGGCTAATAATAACGTGATGGTGGCTGCCTGGTCATTGTAGCAGTTGTAGCATTTTTTTGTCTGTACATAGGTAGATAAACAGCTCCGGGATGTGTATTTTACGTGGCTTGTCAAGGGAATGAGTGGGTGAGAACAGCAGTAGGAATAACTCGGTCTAGAGGCAGCATGATCCACTGGGGAATGCTACAGAGAAAACCGTATTAATTTTGTGTGTTACAAAACAAAAGCATAGAGACCTAAATTAATAATAATAATAAAGTAAATTCTTCTTGTATTCTTGAAACCATAAAAAGGTGCAGATTGAAAGGTGAATGCCTTTCCAAAATGAGGAAGTTCATGTCAAAGAATTTGAGGCAATATTGATGTTAGTAAAATCTGTAAAAGGATTGTGGAGGAGTAATGAATTATATTAATGAAGATGTCCTGAGCAGTAAAAACATATAAAATAATAATTTTTAAGACTGTACTAGATAAACCAGCTAATTGTCACAAAGTTAGATAGTATCAGGAAGGACTTTTGGGAAAGCTCCTGGGCAATATTATGCAATTTTTACATTTTCCTAAAGCATCTGACACACACTTTGTTTTTTTTCTGTGAGATAGGGCTATGGTTTAGTTCCTTTTTCTCACAGTTACGTGTGTAATCCCCAGAAGAGCATGACAGTGAGTCGTAACTGCAAGCTGGTCAGGTTGTGGCACTGTGGTGCATGTTTGTGGGCATTGCCTTGAGGCTTTTCTGCACTTCACAGAAATCAGTGGGGGTCTGTGTGTGTGCAGTTGTATGCATGGGATTTTAGACTGCTAATAATTTTTGTTTGGTGACGAACTGTGATTATTTTTTTTTTCAGGCTGAGTTAGTCTTTTGGCATCACCACAGAACTAGCTACAAATCCCCAGGAAGATTCCTCTGGGGTATCCGTATTCCAACCATACTCCCTGTTAGCCATTTGAGTACAAGTGTGGCATTGGGTACAGGGTGCAGTAGGAACCTTCCTCAGGCACACAAGTTAGCAGCAGTTCTCCAAGCCTGCCCGTAGAAGGCAACTGATGAAATTTGATGAAAGCAGGTGAACACCTGCTGAGTTTGGAATTGGCAGTAACACTACACTCCATTTTTCAGACATGCTATTTAGATTAAGGTGTCTTTATGCAATTTGCAGTCTTAAGGTTGGACCTATGAATCTGGGAGCTTTAAGCATCCTGGTTCTTCCAGCATTATGTAGACTTTCCCATATACTCAAAACTCAGCATCTTGCCTTTTTCATTTGCTTGTTTTTGTATGTGATTTCCTTTAACTGATAGTCCAGACTTGACAATTGTTGAAACTAAACAGTGAAAATCCTTACATAGTTTATGAAAGGCATTCAGCTGTTCTGCCAGTGTAAGAAAAGTAGATGGGTGGTTTTTTTTTCCCTACGTTTAAGTAAAGTAATTTGATTTGTGTCTATTTCTGTGCCCAACTCACATTATCTTTTTTCTTTAGGGGGATAATTAACCCATTCCCTGCTTCAAAATGCATCAGATCGTCCCCACTTCAGTGTATCTATACAGCTGAAGGACATACCAAGGCTGTCCTTTGTGTTGATGCAACTGATGATCTTCTGTTCACTGGATCTAAAGGTTAGGCAAGCTTCATGTGTCTGTGCTGCCTACAGAGGCTGCTTTGACAACTTGGGGTATTGTGAAATCCTCAGTTTACACTTAGTGCTGTAAACACTCTGGAAAATTGTGAGGATCCATTTTGCAACATAAGCTGAAGAAGGATTTGCAGTAATTATTTACAGGTTTTTAATTCCAATGATTAGTTTATTTGTAGGGGAAAAAGTAACTCTCAAGAATAACATTAACATTTGTTGAGTGACATGATGGAACCAGTCATGGTAACCTGTGCACATATGATCTGCAGTGCCAAGTAATAGCCTCAGGGTAGGGGTAGAGGCGGAAATTAGCTGGCTGGGCTACCTACAAAGTTTGAATAGATTCTTCCTACCATAGCTGATTCTTTGAGCAGAGCTAGGGCCATTTTCTGCTTCCTATATGCACCTCTTCCTGTCCCTTGTGGGTATGAGAGTTGTACGGCTATTGTGGGAAGGGGTACCTCTGGTCACTAAATTCCCTGCTGGATGTTGCAGCCACTCTATGAACTCTTCAAGCTAGTAGAAACAGTATTTTGGAAGAAAGGTATGGTTTCTGTGGCTATTCTACTACGAAGACAAGTTCTTACAGTGAAGTGGCAAATTTTTGGTCTAGTAAGTTTTAAGCTAATGTTTTAGCATTCGTGCAAGTGGATATAAATGCAACAAAGGATGTATTTTTAGCATCCGTAAGTGTTGATTGGTTCATTTGTATTGAGATTAGTGGCTATGTGGAAAAAAAAAAAAGAGGCTTTTAAATTTACTTTTTTATTTTACGTCTAGACTTGTGTTCTAAAGGGTTTATTTGTTTTTAACATAGGGGTGCTTGCAGATGTTGTAAATATTTGCTCTTTCTTGTCATATGCTAGTTTCCCATATTTATGGAAGATTTTTTCCTGTATGTATTTTTTGGAGGGGAAAACTTCGCAAAGTATACTTGTACTCAGGAGTACAAGAGTGTAGACAGCAGTTTAATCAGAGTTAAATCTTTTGAAAATTGTTGCTGAATCAGAAAGCCTCAGCTCTCTGAAAGCCATAACACTAGCAGACAGTGCCAGTTCAGGGATACCGATAAGCTTTCAGGTGCATTGCAGATACTGGGCTCTGGTCTTGATAGCTGGGATTTTTAAAGTGGCTGACGAGTTCTTGTTACACTTACTTTCTTTGTGCTCTTATAAACACTGCTTGCACATGAAGTTTTCTCTTCATCCTCCCAGTACTTATTCCAGTAAAAATGTACTTCTAAAATATATGGAGTGATACATACGTGGTACAACAAGGAGAGTTTCCTGTATGGACTCCATTTGTGTGGCAAAAGTCTTGAAAACTTCTTGTAGACAACAAGCTGACCATGAGCCAGCAATGTGCCCTTGTTGCCAAGAAGGCCAATGGTATCCTGGGGTGTATTAAGAGGAGTGTGGCCAGCAGGTCGAGGGAGGTTATCCTCCCCCTCTACTCTGCCCTGGTGAGACCCCACCTGGAGTACTGTGTCCAGTTCTGGGCTCCCCAGTTCAAGAAAGACGAGGAACTCCTAGAAAGAGTCCAGAGGAGAGCTACTAGAATGATAAAGGGACTGGAGCATCTCCCCTACGAGGAAAGGCTGAGAGAGTTGGGCTTGTTCAGCCTGAAGAAGAGAAGACTGAGAGGGGACCTTATCAACACATACAAATATCTTAAGGGCGGAAGTCACGAGGATGGAAGCAGTCTGTTTGCAGTGGTGTCCGGCGACAGGACTAGGGGCAGTGGGTGCAAACTGAGACATAAGAGGTTTCAGTTGAATATGAGGAAAAACTTCTTTACTCTAAGGGTGACAGAGCCCTGGAACAGGCTGCCCAGGGAGGGTGTGGAGGCTCCTTCTCTGGAGATATTCAAAGCCCGCCTGGATGAAGTCCTGTGTAGAATGCTCTAGGAGAACCTGCTTTAGCAGGGGGGTTGGACTAGATGATCTCCCGAGGTCCCTTCCAACCCTTGCGATTCTGTGATTCTGTGATTCTAGGCATCTGGGCCTTTAGTATGCAAAAGGCTGCAGTATTTAATTTTCTTTGCTACTGAATGAAAACTGACTAAAGTACTTATGCTGGGATGTTCAGGGGCTCCTGAAGCATCAAATAGCTCGGATCTCTTCTCGCCTTTGTAATTTTATTGTGGTGGGCAGTCCTCTGACATGCTGAGGCTCAAAGCCTTTCCTGAACTATGTTTTTGATGAAGAATCCTTGAATTAGAAATTGAGTAGTTCTCTTGATCTGTCATCATCCAAACTTTACAGCTTCCAAACTGTTTGACAGCTTGGGATTGACATGGAATTTTATCCTTTTAAAATGCTATGGGAGCTAATATGTACACCTTCAACATGACATTTAATGATTAACCTTGCTTATTTTTGATGATTGTAGATGATGCCCATGAGTACTCTACAAAACCAGATTAATTAAATAGGTCTTTAAAAGTGCCTACCAAAATGGAGGTTTATGTATGAGTGCAAATGAATGTATGGACTTCTTTAAAATTGAGTTTTGGAAAAGCATGTTTTCTGTGGTGTTTCTTCAGTGACTTGTTTGTTTGTTTTTTAATTAATTTAAAAAAAAAAATTAATTTTTTTTTTTTTTCTCTTTTTGCTTGTCTTTTAGATCGCACCTGTAAAGTCTGGAATCTGGTAACTGGACAAGAGATTATGTCTCTGGGGGGTCATCCAAATAATGTTGTTTCTATAAAATATTGCAACTACACTAGCCTGGTCTTCACAGTCTCAACCTCCTATATCAAGGTGTGGGACATCAGAGATTCTGCTAAGTGTATTCGGACATTGACGTAAGTATGCTAAACCTTGAATGCCAAGAGTTTAAATGAATCTTACCTTTAGATAAAAAAATTATTCTATTTAATTCAATAGTGCAGCACAATGTAATTTAAGTACACTGTTTCAGGCTGGAGGCTTTCTTTACGTGTTCAGGCTAAGTCAGTTTAGGGCGTTGGTAATACATGGAAACACAAAACAACTTGCTTTCATGCTTATAGTGTTTTATCAAATGTTCAATATTCATAATTGACTCATTATGAATACATAATAAGGGAGTTTGGTGTTTGTGGTGGGGTTTTTTTTTAGTTTGGGTTTTTTTTTCCCTCCTTCCTTCTTGTACTCAGGTCTTCAGGGCAGGCGATGCCTGGTGATGTGTGTTCAGGAACTACTAATAGAACAGTCACTATCCCAGCTGGAGAAAACCAGATCAATCAGATTGCACTAAATCCAACTGGCACATTCCTCTATGCGGCTGCTGGAAACTCAGTGAGGATGTGGGACCTGAAAAGGTACTGAGCACCACTAGAAGAGAATGTTCTTAAGGTGGTTACATGTGTATACAAAACAAAGTCAATGAAGTGATTCCTGTTTATGGTAATGTCCATAACCTGGGCAAAATATGGACAAGATACAGATAAGCTAATACATGCCATGGTGATTACTGAGATAACGGAGGTGCTCATGATCTCCTCGTGTTAAGGTTATGGTGAATCGCTTCAAATTGTTTCAGTAAAAATGATTGGAAAAATCATAGAATCATGGAATAGTTTGGGTTGGAAAGGACCTTTAAAGGTCATCTAGTCCAACCCCCCCTTCCATAAGCAGGGACATCTTCAACTGGATCAGGTTGCTCAAAGACCCGTCCAACTTGACCTTGAATATTTCCAGGGATGGGCCATCTACCACATCTCTAGACAACCTGTTCCAGTGTTTCACCACCTTCATTGTAAAGAATTTCTTCCTTATATCCAGTCTAAATCTACCCTCTTTTAGTTTAAACCCATTACCCCTTGTCCTATTGTTGCAGGCCCTACAAAGTAGTCTGTCCCTGTCTTTCTTATAAGCCCTCTTTTAAGTACTGAAAGGACAAATACAGGAAAGAAGAAAGAACAAAACACATTGAAAGGAAAACCAGAAGGTTTTGTTTAGGACAGGCACTACAAACCAGACTGTTGTAAGGTGACAGATGCATGAATCCTGACTAGTAATTTTTGATGAAATTATGAAAGCCAACTGATCTAATGTATTAGAATATGGGGCTATGATAGTCACGCTATAATAGCACTTTTCCAAACCAAACCTGCACCCAAAGAGTGTGTTCAAAATACAGAGAATACTTCAAGAGGTCTGATTTGTCTTTAAAGTTTTTAAATTTTCATTTTACACAAATAGAAGCTTTTGTTTACATTTAACATAGATTTAACATTTACACATGGATATGAGCAATAGAGTACGTGTAACCTGTGGATGAATAGTGAAGACATGCGGAAAATAAGATGATCCATTCTGGCAGAAGCTGTGCTATAGATTATATTGAATCTATGAAAAAATTACAAACCCTCATTTCTTCTCTTATTCTTGAAGATTTCAGTCTACGGGAAAGCTAACTGGTCACCAGGGTCCTGTTATGTGCCTTACTGTAGATCGAATTTCCAATGGACAAGACCTTATTGTCTCTGGTTCAAAGGATCATTATATAAAGGTAAACCGTTAGTATTTGCTTATTTATTTTAACTCTTCACATCAGCGTGGGATGCAGGCTTCAGCAGAAGTGACTCACATCTCCATATCGGAAACTTGATAGCCAAGATGGAAATTCTTTCATCAGTCATAGATTATGAATAATGTTCTGTCTTAATAAATGCTTATCACTTCAGTGCTATTTTTATTTGGATGGTTGTCTGTAGTTAAACGTTTTCTTCACCCCCAGTAAGGTGGACACCAGGTGTATAAAGTCTTGGAGAAATATTCATAACACCTACTTCTAAGTAACATTTAGCTCTTGAAAGTATCTTAAGCCAGTGCCTCTGTTTTCGAGTGCAGACCTAATTGCCTCAGCAGAGATGCTCTCTGTGCTCCCCACAGAAGAGAGTCTGGGATGTAGCCTGGGCTTTTGCTTAAGTGTTACCTGAGTCCTGGAGTGGGGAAGGAGAGTGGTCAGCACATCTCAGCCAACCTGTCCAGTCTATTTGGTGTGGTTTTTAGCATGCAGGTTGCTCTGAGTTGTGTTCAAAGCATGGCCAGTGGTGGTATGATACTTTACTGCTTCTTGGCATTGTGATTAATTCACTCAAGGATAGGGAATCTGTTGTTTGTGTTGTCTGGGTTTGTTTTTTTTTTTTGGGGGGGGGGGGGGAGGAGGGAACTCCCTCCTGTTTTGGGCCTACCTCAGCCAGGGGGTATTTGAACCCACAAGCTCCTGTTTCTCAGGAGTATGCCCAAACCACCAGACTATGGGAACTATACATCATCTTCCCCATGAAGCTGATCCTCACACTGCAAAGAACATGTGATTCATGAGGCCTAAGAGAGAATGAGCAAGATACTCTAGCATGTTGTCATGGGGTACCCTTCATTCTGGTCTTTATACATCTCACACCCTGGAAAACATGTATAAACACATATGGGAGTGGAGTGGGAGCCAGAACTCAAGTGAGCTTTCTCCCTGAGCTGGGCTTTCTCTTCTTGATGTTATCCTGCAGTTCTTGGACACTTGGCTGTGCACTGGGACAGCCTCAGCAGATTGCCTGGGAGGTGGGTGCTTAGCTTTACCGTTTGGACCATGGATTTGAATCCTATCAGCAGTCCCTATGGTTGGAGGCCAGAGGACTCTTAGGCAGTAAGGTGACAGAGGCACTCTAATAATTACTTTATGCACAGTTCAGAATGTTGAGTTAGTTAAGAGCTACCATCCTTGCACAGTAATGAGTGTAGGACCTCAGTGGGGACAACAGGATGTGACCATATAATTCAAGTTTGTCATGCTACCAACTCCCATGACAAGCAAAGAGGTGGAAGGGCTTTTTGGAAAACAGAACTGTCAATAGAGACGTTTATCTGCCATTCTTGTGTGCTCCCTTACTGTGGGCAGGTTAGATAAATCCTTATGAGGCCACCTGCTTCTTGACTTGCGCCACTAGAATATCCGGGCATATTTTGGCCATGTGTATGTGCTGCAGAGTAGTGTGTGTTCTGCAAGGTGAATGTGTCCAAAATTGTCAAGCCACTTTGGATAGCACAAGTGATCTGTATGTGCATGGTCAGTGCAGCAGTTTGGGAATTCTCAGTGCTTCTTCACATGGGTAGGTCCGTGCGGGTAGTAGGTCTGGTCACAGATACTGCTTTCCCCTGCCACAGGAAACTGTCTTGTCTACTGAGCCAGGAATATTTGTCATCTCTAAGTGCCTAACTTTTCTGGTGTATCATTGAACTTTCTTGTTACAAGTGGAACTGATGTATGTTAATTGAATGTGATAACTTTTAAAATACCTTTAACTCACTTAAGGTATTCTTTTACACCACCGAGCCATCCCTTTTTTACTGTCAAGCTTATTCATTTTAAAAGGTCAAGGAAGAGCAAATAATAGGGGATGAAGTCTGACATTTGCTTGTGAAACTGAGGTAGTGGTTTAAAAAGTTACGGCTCATCTGTTCCTCCTCAGCTCAGTCTAACTGGGTGAGTTCTGGCTCGCCACAATGCAAAATGAAGCAGGGCTGTTTACACTGCTGCTCTAGGGACAAAGAGCCGGCGGGGTTGATTATGCCTTAAATTGCTAAAATGGCCTCACTTAAGAATCCCTTTTAAGACCCCATTCTTGGAGCACAGGCAAGGAGAGAGGTGTGTCTAGTCCATGGAAAGCACCAGTATGTAATGGTATGTAGCCCTTGCCAAAACACCTTCTCCAGAAAAATATATTAATGCCTGCAGCTGCCTGTACAATTCTCCCAGTGTGAGTCGCGTTTCCTGTATTCAGTCATGAGCTTTGTTTCTCTAGCCCACCACATGGGCTCTTTCTTGTGAAGATACTGTGTATTTCATAACCAAGGAATACCACCTCTTCCCAGAGCAGTCTTTTCTGAACTCAGTGAAGCATT